CCAATACAACCTCCTCTACAACTGAATCTCAAAATACAAGTAAGTAATATATATGTAGAGTATTTAGGAATGCTTTTTATTCCACTGTTAATGTATATTTAATTAATTTATATATTGAATGTTTTAAATCACCTCATGAGTATCAAGCATCAGCGCCATCAATAGTAGGATACGTTATCTAATGTTGAAATGATGTGTTTGTGCTAGAATTTTTTTATTTGTCTATTTTTATTTTATTTTTTGGCATTGTAGAATTTTATTTGATTTGTAAATGTAAGAAGCTAAATAACGGATCTCAAACTCAATTCCTGGAGGGCTACAGCTCTGCACAGTTTTGCTCCAATCCTAATCAATTACAGCTGATCCAACTAATCATGGTGTTCAAAATTACTATGCTGTGTCCCAGTACTTACAGTATACTACACCCTAAAAGTATGTATGTTTTTGTGAAGGAAAAGTATATACTTTTGAGTTTGTAACAAGAGTAAGCAAACTCGGGGACATACTACAGATCGTTATGTTGCTTAGTTATATTCCCCTGTCAATCATCTACAAATCATTCACTTTTCTTTCATATTAAATTTCATACCTCATTATAAAAGCAGTAGCAGGAAAATCTGAGTCTTTTGTGCAGAGAAATCTTCTCAGGTTTTGGGGGATGTATTTATTTAGACGTTAATATCTAAATATATCTTGATATAATTTAACATTGACATTGCAAATGAAATATAACATGGAAAACGCAATTTAAATATGTTCCTTTTGGCTAGATATTAATTAACAGTCAATCAAACATCTTTACTGAAGCCTCTGTACTTGATGGTTGGTCTCGCACATCCGCCATGTTTGTAGTTTATTTACACATTTCACCCACGTTTGTAGTTTTAATACACATCCAACGCTCAATGTATTGTGGGCAATATCAGCGGTTAGATTATGGACACTACTACACTTCGAGTTTTTACCGGAAATAGTAAACCTCCAGGAACTTTTGACATACTCTTTTCAACATACAAAGGTTTGGGACGTAGTAATTCTATTTTCAAACACTATTTAGAACGAATAGTATGTGAATTGGAATGCAGCACTACAAAGACTATTAAGCAGGTGTAATTTGGAGGTGGTTGGAGCTAAAATCTGCAGAACTGTGGCCCTCCAGGAATTGAGGTTGAGACCACTGAACTATAGTAATAAAACAAGCTATATAAACAAGACTTTATAATGCTGTCAATCAAATTCCCTTTTTATTTATTCTATTGTTTATTTATATATAAAAAAAATAATTTCATGCAAATAAATTAGTTATATAACTCTATAAGTAGATTTTCTGTGTGACACTTTCCAGAATGAAGTATGCACAAAACAAATTACTTTTGGGTGCTATGATGGTTCTGACACTGGGTTATTCATATATTTATATCTGTCATATACAGTTGAAGTCAATATTATTAGCCCTCCTCTGAATACTTTTTTCAAATATTTCCCAAATGACGTTTAACAGATTCAAAAATTTTTCAAAGTATTTCCTATAATAATTTCTCTTCTAAAGAAAGTCTTATTAGTTTTATTTTGGCTAAAATAAAAGCAGTTTTTGATTTTTAAAAAATGAATGATTAAGTCTATTTTACTGATTATATTTGAATTGCATTCCAGCATCAATGCTGTGAAAGGAACCGTATGACATTATAAATAGTCACATAAAGTAGGGCTGGGCGATATGGGTCAAAATATTATATCCCGATGTTTTTAGGAGGAATGACGGTATACGATATACATCCGGTATTTTCCCATAAATGGTTACTAGAGAATTACTAAACATTTTTTTAAGCAAAATATAATTCAAACACAGGGGTTGCCCTCCCTGTTTACAAATATACAGCTGCACAAAAAATAACAGCTGTACAACATCTTTGATAAATAAAATACAGTACAGGTTTTTCTCCTGCTTAAAACCGTTGCACAACATTTCAAATTATAAACAAAGTCTTTGATAAATACAGTACAGTTTTTTTTTCCTGATTAACACTATAAAAAGCTCTGCTGTGATGTTGTGCAAATAACAGAGTAAACAGAACCATAGAAAACAGCTACATCGTCAGAGCAAAAAAGGAACACACTTAAATAGAAACCCAACAAAAAGTATTGTAGGATAGAAAAGAACCATATTGAATGTAAACAGTAATTTGTCACAATTACAGTGTTGTTATATGTAATCCACAGTTGTGTGATTTAAAAACAACAATTAAATCAGCTGTATATGTTTTTTAGTTACACATTTACATGTATGTATTGTGCACAATTATTAAACATATCGAATATATCTAAAGAGAAGTATTTCACTCTATGTAAAAAATCCTACAGTTTTGTTTTGTTTTGACTGAACTTGTTTTATTAAATATTAAATAAGGAGATGAAAACGGATAGACTATAGATATGAGAAGTAACAAGAGTACTGTGATGAAACGCTGGTTAAGCATATAAATGTAAACAGTTATTATAACAGACCAGAACGAGCTAAATGTGTTATAATGTAAATGTAAATAAGAGACCGTTGTGTAATAAATACTGAACTTATAATCAGTGAATATGAGGTGGTTTCACTTTCGAAACGTGGTATAAATTCGTCCTATTTTGCCATTTTTAATTCTTTTGTACACATTCTTTTGTACACATTCAGAACTTGATACATTCAGGCCCGAATGGGCCAGTAATGATCCTGTCTACTGTACCGAGCGTCTCGCAAGCTGACCATGTGCCATCGGGCAGTTCGAATTGACGTGGCCTTATATATGTACAGTTGACTATATTTAGAGAGTTTTAGCAGTTATTTTATATACTACCCATCTTTCAACTGCATGCAAATTGATTTTAAGGCATTTCAATATATGTGTTTGTTTTTTTTATTTTCAGCATCTTCTGCCAATACAATCTCTTCTACAAATGAGGCTCACACAACTGCTGCACCTACAAGTAAGTAATGTATAAATAAAGTTGACTATATTTGGAGAGTTTTAGCATGTTACAGTTATTGTATATTGTAATAATCGGCACTGCAAGTATTCCACACCACCTCCAGAATATCAAGCATCAGAAGCTTACTTTTAATAGGAAAATGTGTACTGTTTACAATTATATGTAACATTTCACCACTTCAGTCAGGATCTCTTTCATCAAATATACTGTATATTGATGGAATTAGCATGAAGTTAATGTTGATGGTATAGTTTCTGGGCAAACCTTTATAGGAGTAACAGAACAATTTAAAAACCACGCATAATTATGAGTCAATGAAAATACTAATTTATAGAAAAGACAAACCCGCGCTTTAGAGAAGAAAATAAAATTGCTAATTGCTTTTCACCTTAGCACATCATCAAAATATATGAAGATAGCATTGTTGCTTTTAGCATTTTAGTATTACTTCATTTCCACCCTATTTTTAACACATCTACTGTATATATTTCAGCAGTCTCAACCAGTACAAAAACTTCTACGACTGAGTCTCAAACAACAGCGAATACAAGTATGTAAAAGATATGTACAGCTGTCTAAATACTTGATAAGAAATGTTTTACCAATGACTGTTGATGTCAATTGCATTTATAGACATTTCAAAATTCTCAGAATCTAGCAACAGCAAGTTTAATATCAAGAAATGTATACTATAACATGAAAGTGTACTATTACACATAGTTTCATCTAATATTATATACATGTATGTGTGCAGGACTTTTTTCTTGCAAAGCAAGTTTTCATTGAATGCAAAAATGTTTTTTTAAGTCTTTCAAGAATTATTAAGGAAATTGTGATTCTCTTTTATCAAAATGTCCAAGCAGCCACTGCCACGACACACTCTTCTTCAACTGTGTCTCCAACATCAACTTTATCAAGTGAGTATTTTTAATCATACAGTCAGTTGACAGAGAAGCTAAGCTAAAATGCTAACTGTTTTTATCTTAGCACAGTAAGTACAACAGACATTTTTACGCATCATTTATTAAACAATGGCTTTTTAAAAGTCAAATTTAAATTTTTAAAAGTCTCAACCATTTTCTACCTTTTGCTCACTTTGGAGGTTGGGAAGGGTTCTGAGCTCTACTTGTGCCCAATCGCTAGAAGCTAAAGACTGATAAATAAGTGCTTCAAGTTTCACGATTCAAATAAATTGAAATAAGACACATTTTAAAAACATGACTAAACATGATTAAACTACAATTTTGGAAAGTGTTTGCATTTTGCCTCTGATAACGTCAAATTTGGAGTAAAGGTGTTGAGTGCTGTGCTTTATCTTGTCACGTTCGATACTGCACACAAAAAGAACAAACAGAACGGGCAATAATTAATAATCTATTTACTAGTTAGAGCTTGTGTTCACTATTTAGAACACAGTGCCATCGAAAATTAAAGTATATTTGTACAGTACATTTTCTTGCAAAGCAGGATGTCATTGAATGCAAAAATGTTTTGTAAATCTTTCAAGAAATAATTTACTTTTGTTTTTTACTTCATCAAAATGTCCCTGCAGCGACGACACACTCTTCTTCAAATGTGTCTCCAACATCAACCTTATCAAGTGAGTATTTTTAGCCATTCAGTCAAATTGAACAGATTGAGAAGCTAAGCTAACATGCTAACAGTTTGATCTTAGCACAGTGACTAAGTACAACAGACACTTCTCACTCACACATTTTCTACCTTTTGCTCACTTTGGAGGTTGGGAAAGGTCTGAGCTACACTTGTCTCCAATCACTAGAAGCTAAATGCTAATAAACAAGCGCTTCATGTTTCATGGTTCAAATATATTGAAATAAGTCACATCAAATAACACAATTAAAAAATACAATAAAGTGTTTGCATTTTGCCTCTGATAACATCAAATTTAGACAATATATGGTAAAAGTGTTGAGTGCTGTGCTTCATCTTGTCACTTTCCATACTGCATGCAAAAAATACAAACTAAAAACAAGAGCATATTTTCATATTCACTATTTAGAACCCGTGTTCACTATTTAGTGCCATCTAAAATTATAGTATATTTGTACAGTATATTTTCTTGCATAGCAGGTTTATTGAATGCAAAAAAAATGTTTTGTCAATCTTTCTATAAATATGAAAATTGTGATTTATTTAAATTTTTACTTCATCAAAATTTCTCAGCAACCACAACACACTCTTCAACTGTTTCTCCAACAACAACTTTTTCAAGTGAGTATTTTTAGTCATTTAGTGAGCTGATGGAGATTGAGAAGATAAGCTAACATGCTAACTGTTTTCATCTTGGCACAGTTACTAAGTACAACAGACACTTTTTACTCTATCATTTATTATAAAATGACTTTTTAAAAGTTTTTCTAGGTCAGTTTTTCTCAAACTTTTTCTATCTTTTGCTCACTTCCCTGCTGAAAAATCCAGTTTAAACCAGCCTAGGCTGGTTGGCTGGTTTTAGCTGGTCGACCAGGCCGGTTTTAGAGGGGTTTTGGCCACTTCCAGGCTGGTTTCCAGCCATTTCCAGCCTGGTCTTAGCTGGTCAGGCTGGGAGATGACCAGCTGAAACCAGCTTGACCAGCCTAGCCAAGCTGGGAGTCCAGCCAAAACCAGCTATATCCAGCTTAAACCAGGCTGGTTTTGGACTATAAGCTGGTTTTAGACTATAGACACTTGCAAAATTGTTCTTGTAGGCAATTTAAAATTACTAAATTGTCTTTTTTTTACATTTATATATTTTAGCACCGCCTGCCAGTACAAATGAGACTCAAGCAACACCTACAAGTAAGTAATACATATGTACAGCTGACTATATGTGGAGAGTTTTAGCTTTTTTCAGTTATTGTATATTGCAATAATACTACAATTTAATAACCTGGATATCAAGCATCAGCAACTTAATTATTAGAAAAAATGTTTTTCACTATAAAATTACTTTTTAATACAGTTAACAGTTATTTTAAATTCAACAGATCATTTTTATTTTTGATAAATTCATTTTTTATTCTATTTATTGCAAATTTATTTTGATTTTTAATTAGTCAATGATAAATGAGTCATGCCATTGGACAAAAAAAGAAAGTCATAACATTGTTGCTTTAAGCACTTCAATAATACTTAAATTATATTTACATTTTTGATGCATCTACGTATTTCAGCACCCTCTACCAGTGCAAACACTTCTGAGTCTCAAACAACACCACATACAAGTAAGTGATACAAATGTACAGCTGTCTAAATCCTTTATTAGGAAAGTTTAACCACTGTATTGTTGATGTATATTATAGTAATCAACATTTCAAAATCTAGCATCAAAAAGTATTTAGCATCAGCAATTTCAATGTATGTTTAATTTTCAATGTTTATTTTTATCAAAATGTCCGAGCAGGCAATGCCACGACACACCCTTATTCAACTGAGTCTCAAACATCAACAACTTCTGAGTTTTTTTATTTTTTGTTCATGGACTACTGTGTAAACAGTTTAATTGATCATTTGAGGTTCAAGTTATTAAAAGGTGTCAAAGTCCAGTTTATTCTAGAATTGTCATAATTTTCTGCATTCAAAAATCAGGGTTGCTTTTGGTTTTATTTCTGTAAATATTGTACACATATCTGTACACAGAAAAAAATAGATTTGTTTAATACATTTTATGCAATGCAGAATTTAATTGTATGCAAAAATGTACTTGAAGCAGGTACACTGTAACTTTACTATAAGTGTGATTTTTACAACAAAAAAAAATAATTCATGAGGTCACTTGATAGAACAGCTAACATGTTAACCGTTTAACAAAAATACATCTTTTATATATAAGTAAGTAACTACTTTTTGAAATACTTTCCATCATTGGTCTCGGTTTCCCAAAAGTATCATAAGTGTAACCTGCCAGTCCTCTTTCACCCAACCTGCTCTGAGCTAGAATTGATCCGGTGATTCTTTGCATGGGAGTTGGTTGCTCTAACAAGGAACAACTCTAACAAATCTGTTTCGTTAGTTTAGTTTAATTGTACACAAAATCTTTGGTTTAGGCATTTGAGTATTACTAAAATTATCAATTCCTTTTCAAAACTATGTATTTCAGCACCACCCTCCAGTACAAGCTCTTCTACAACTGAAACTCACACAACAGCATCTACAAGTAAGCAATATATATGTACAGCTGACTATAATTGGAGAGTTTTAGCAATTTACAATTATTGTATATTTTATTAATCAATACTGTATTTTACATCACCCCCTGAATATTACACATCAGCAAGCTATTAATATGAAACTGTTTACAATAATATAAGAAACTATTAACCATGATTAAAAAATCCAACATTTGCTTTGTTATTGTTATTAATATTTATTGAATTTATTTTTGTCAATAAGGACATTTTATATAAAAAAGCTACCTTGTGTTGGGAAAGCTAGCACACACCTCAGCACACTGTCAAAGTACAGAAATATTTGAGAATAACATTGCTGCAGATAACACAATGGTTTAAAGCAGGGGTCTCAAACTCAATTTACCTGGGGGCTGCAGGAGGCAAAGTCTGGGTGAGGCTGGGCCGCATAAGGGATTTCACAAAAAAAAGTCCTCAAATGTCATTATTAACAGTTTTAATTATTTCTTCTGAACATGAAGTGTCCTGAACATTAATAGAACATGAGTGAAGATTATGAACAGTTCTTGTTGCCAGAGACTTGACAGCGCTTCTTCTCACAAATCTGAACCACATTTAGCTTTAGAGCGGAAGCAGTTGAGACCCTCAGTATGGCTTGGGGGAACTCGCTCAAAACTTCCATTCCCGGCCTCACCTAAAAAAAGGCGTATATATGTATAAATAAAACACCCCCACCCCACTCCAGTCACATCAGTCTGTACCAGTCTGTATCTACCTATAATATATATAAGATGCAGGCTGTAGCTAGGTAGGTGGCAGGCTGCAGATAGGTAGCTAAGTGGCAGGCAGGGGCGGGAACAGCTTACCTTGGTTCTGGCCAGCGCGAGTTCCCTACCGTCACAGCGTCTAACAAAGGGGCGGGGTGCGTGGTGACGTCATCTTTGTTTACACGGCGGGCGGGGAATGCCAGTGACCGCTGTGTACGGATAGAATCAGCAGAGCGGGGAGCGCTCTCTCTCCCCGCTCCGCTAATTCTGTCAGTGTACAGCGGTCGGCGCGGGCCACAAAATATTGCACTGAGGGCCGCAAATGGCCCGCGAGTTTGAGACCCCTGGTTTAAAGGTTGCAAACAGTAAACATTTTCTTTCTATTTTGTTATTAATATTTAATGAATTTATTTTTTGTCAATGAATAAGGACATTTTATACAAAAAAGCTAAAATGTTTTTACCTTAGCACATTGTCAAATACAAAAGTAAAAAATAAAAACATTTGAGCATAACTTTGTTATTTTAAGCATTTCAGTAATTTTTTATTGATCTTTATTTCAGCTCCCTCTACCAGTGCAAACACTTCTGAGTCCCAAACAACACTTCATACAAGTAATTATATATATATACTTTATTGTAAAAGTGCATCCATTGTATTGTTGATGTATATTGTATACACAGTTCTATATTTATATTTCATATGTGTGCAGTATGTTTTCTTGCAAATCAGATTTTTTTGTAAATCAATGAAGAATTTTTAATGGTGATACTTTTCTCTTATCAAAATGTGCCAGCAGCCACTGCCACAGCACACTCTTCTTCAACTGAGCCAACAACATTAACTACTTCAGGTCAGTATTTTGATTCATGGACTACAGTGTCAAAATAAAACATACAATTATAAAATAAACTTGCAATACATAATTTCATTGTATGCAAAAATGTCTTTGTAAGCTTGTCAGATTTAAGTAATTTTTTATTATTTTTGGAGTCATTTAATAGAGAAGGTAAAATGCTAACTATTTTTTTTATCATAACGCAGGATCTAAATCCATTTTATTGTAGCACAACTTTTTGTTTAGTTTTGAAGTTCAACAGTATATGAGAGTAACAGTTTTTTTTATCTTTTATTTCAAAACTTATTTTCTGAACTTCCCTCAAGTCATTTTCTTTCTCCAACTTTTTTAATTGCAATGGTTTTTGCTGCATTTTATTTCAATAAATTGTTTCTATTATGTATTTATCTCTTATTACCTGATGGAGGGAACGGAAAAGTTGTTTTTTTAACTGACAGATAGTGATTCCCTTATAAGACCAATCCCTTTGACTTGTATGAAAAAAGGACAATGAATTGACAAATTTGCATGTGTGTCCACTCCCCCACTTATTACTATGCCTGCAAGATGGCACGTTAGATATCTCTGAGGACCCAAGCAAATTTAGAATTCAGCTAACAGCCCAGAGCTGTGGCAAAGAGATATAATGGCAAAGTCTAAAGCACATGGCGCAGATACACTTGGGGTGTCAAAGTCAGTTCCTAGAGGGCCAAAGCCCAGCACAGTCTAGTTCCAACTCTGCTTCAACACACTTACCTCAAAGTTTAAAATAAGCCTAAAGGACTTAATTAGTTTGATCAGGTGTGTTTAAATAGGGTTAAAGCTAAATTTTATTACCCGTGACTTGACAACTGTCCAAATCCACTTTTGCTATTTTAAGTACAGGAAAAAAGGTTGTAGCACCTGGCACATGGCCTAAAGGATTGTCCTTATTCTATTAATGTGTTACGCGTGTGTTTATGGACAGAACATGCATTAAACCAATCAGAGTCTTATCTACCATTCCTTTTAAGAGCAAGTTGGTAACACCATGGCACATTCGTTATCTACATGGTGGAACTTAACACAGAACATCGGTGTGTGTTATTTCCTCATTATCCCAATTACAATGAGCAGATAACAGGTCCAGAGTTCATTTCAAGTGTGCTATTTGCATTTGGAATCGGTTACTGTCAACTTTAAAAGATGAGATCCAAAGAGCTGTCACTATCAGTCAAACAAACCATCATAAGGCTAAAAACAAGACAAACCCATCAGAGAGATGTCAAAAACATTAGGCATGGTCAAAAAAACTGTTTGGAACATTCTTAAAAAGAAAGAACGCATCAGTGAGCTCAGCAACACCAAAAGAACCGGAGGACCACAGATAACAACTGTGGTGGACGACCAAATAATTCTTTTTTTTTGGTAAAGAAATCACCCTTCACAACAGTTGGCCAGATCAAGAATCCTCTCCAGGAAGTAGGTGTATGTGTATCAAAGTCAAAAATCAAGAGAAGACTACACTAGAGTGAATACAGAGGGTTCACCACAAGATGTAAACCAATGGTGAGCTCAAAAAACAGGAAGGCCAGATTAAAGTTCTAAAAAAAAGCTTTCACTGTGCTGGAACAACATTCTTTGAACAGATGAGACCAAGGTCAACTTGTACCAGAGGGATGGGAAGAGTAGTGTATGAGGAAGGAAAGGAACTGCTCTTGATCCTAAGCAGTGAAGTATGGAGTAGTGACATGGCGTGGGCATGTATGGCTGCCAATGGAACTGGTTCTGTCAAATTTTTACAGACCTTCCTTCTTTTACTCCTCCAACACTCCCCCCTAAACAGAGCTGGACACGCCCACTTTCCTGACTTTTTCCGAAGTAGAGGTGTGATTAAACCCTGCTGAAACGAGGGGGTTTCATGGCCCTTTAAAAACTCATTGGATGGCACTTTACAGTGCAGATGGAGAATGGCCCAAAGCATACTGCAAAGGCAACCAAAGGGTTTTTTAATGTGAAAGAAGTGGAATGTTATGCAATGGCCAAGTCAATCACTTGATCTGAATCCAATTGAGGATGCATTTCACTTCCTGAAGACAAAACTGAAGGGAAAATGCCCCAAGAATAAGCAGGAACTAAAGTGCTGTGGAGGCCTGGCAGAGCACCACCAGGAATGAAACTCAGTGTCTGGTGATGTCTATGAGTTCCAAATTTCAGGCTGTAATTGACTGCAAAGGATTTGCACCTAAGTATTAAAAAGTGAAAGTTTGATTTTTGAGTATTATTATGTCCAATTACTTTAGGACCCTTAACAAGTGGGAGGCACATATGAAAACTGCAGTAATTCCTATATTGATCACCTAATTTAGATATAAATACCCTCAAATTAAAGCTGACAGGCCCAACATTTTAATCCTTAATTTTTTTATATTTAATGATGCTTGCTAGCTTTTATACATTGCTATGTGTATAATTAGTGATATGTGCCTATTTGAGTTTAAAACACGCTAACAAATAACAAAAATTTTCAAATAACAAAAAAACTTTAGAGCAGCTTTTGGTTGGATTAGGATTTTAGTCAGATTTATTAATAGTTTTAAATATAATAACGAGCACTGTCTGCTGCTGCTTCTGTATGCACCATCACAGCGATCTTGGGTATTTTTTCGTCTAAAATCAGCTCTCGGGAGTGAACAACTTGACTTTTTTATAGAAGTCCCAGTGATTGGTCTTCTGGTACTAAGTGATTCTTTATCTATAGGTTAAGAAATAATTTGTATGGGTCAATTGATTCAGTCAAAGGGAACGTTCGAGGTTACAGAAGTAACCCTTCGTTCCCCGAGGAGGGGAACGGAAGTGCCATGAATGGGAGGATTCGGATCAGAAGCCGCTTATCTGGAGAGTATTGAACGGGCCAATGAATGAAATTAATTGGCAGCGTAAGCTTGCGCAGGTGTGCGACATCTGCAATTATCTCAGCATATAAGCACACCTGAAGCCAGCAGACGCCATCCTTTTAAGCTGAAGAGACTTTCAAACAGCTAAGGGACAGTCATTATGGCGACGGAATATGGCACTTCCGTTCCCCTCCTCGGGGAACGAAGGGTTACTTCTGTAACCTCGAACGTTCCCCTTCGGTTGGGGAACTTCAGTGCCATGAATGGGAGAATATGGAAAGCGCCATAATGACTGCACCTTACCAACACCCCCGATGAGGAGATAGTCAAGCAAGCGTGACGCACCCACATCATGGGGGGCGCGGTCCTCCAACGTGTCCCTGGCCCTAATTTATCCTACTTCAACAGAAGTTTTACGGATTTAGATATATTTTTTTGGGAAGTCGTGAGCATCTAGATAATTCTAGGAAATACGACAGTACGTTGGGAAGCGTGCAATCCCGATAGGGAGGACGCTGCGGAGGCCATCCGTTACCCAAGGGGGGGATAGATGGCAGAATTTACCTATGGACTAGCCCTAAAAAGGGGGAGTACGCATAGCAAAGAGTGGTTAGCGGAGAGGGAAGACACGGGTCCGCCCAGGGGGGGGACTTAACCGTGGCGGAATAAGCATATGGGATCGCCTAGTGGGGATCACGTATAGCAGGCACCTATACCCAAAACGCGGGCTGACCAGCGGGCAGACCTACAACGTAGTGGGCCAGCAAGTGACTCCTCCGCTGAGTCAGTGCTGGGGGCCACGGAGGAATCTGCAGGGCTCACCTGACGGGGAACTTTACTGACAGATAAAAAAGGCGCACGTACCTCCGTGTTAGGGAGAATGGCGCAGCAAGCGTGTTTCAACACCCTACCGAGTTGTCTCCTCAATCACCAAAGGGTTACCTAATACCCTTGAGGAAACCGGCTCCACTCGCAGATTGTAAAACCTTGCAAATGTGTTGGGTGTCGCCCAGCCCGCAGCTCTACAGATGTCTGTTAGAGAGGCGCCGCGTGCACGGGCCCAAGAGGATGCAACGCTCCGAGTGGAGTGTGCACGTACTCCCGGGGGACACGGCTGACCTCGACTCGAATAAGCGAGTGAAATGGCATCCACAATCCAGTGGGATAATCTTTGTTTCGATACGGCACTTCCCTGCTGCCGACCGCCATAACAGACAAAGAGCTGCTCAGATGATCTAAAATTCTGAGTACGGTCCACATAAATGCGCAGAGCGCGAACTGGACAAAGTAAAGAAAGGGCTGGGTCTGCCTCCTCCGGGGGCAGCGCTTGCAGGTTCACTACCTGATCTCTAAAGGGGGTGGTAGGAACCTTGGGCACATAACCGGGGCGGGGTCTCAGGATAACGTGAGAGTAATCCGGCCCGAATTCCAGGCACGAGTCACTGACCGAAAATGCCTCCAGGTCCCCGACCCTCTTGATGGAGGCCAACGCAACCAGCAGAGCTGTCTTCAGGGACAGAAATCTTAGAGATACTGATTCGAGTGGCTCAAAGGGATCGGATCGCAGACTCGTGAGAACGAGGGCGAGATCCCAAGAGGGCATGAGAGGGGGGCGAGATGGATTAATTCGCCTAGCACCCCTAAGGAACTGGATGACCAGGTTATGCTTTTCCACGGTGCCGCCAGCTACCGCGCTATGATAAGCGGAGATGGCGGCCACGTAAACCTTGAGAGTGGAGGGCGACAGCCTGCTGTCCAACTTCTCTTGAAGGAAAGAGAGCACAACACTAATCTGGCAATTTCGGGGGTCTTCTCTGCGAGAGACGCACCATTCAGTGAATAGACTCCACTTCAGGGCGTAGGCGCGCCTCGTGGAGGGGGCTCTAGCCTGAGTAATGGTATTAACCACCGCAGTCGGTAGGTTACCTAAGTCTTCCTCGCGTCTAGGGACCACACGTGGAGGTTCCAAAGATCGGGGCGAGGGTGCCAGATGGTGCCCTGTCCCTGAGAGAGTAGGTCCTCTCTCAAAGGGATCCGCCAGGGGAGGGCCGTCGCGAGGAGTGAGAGCTCTGATATCCAGGTCCGGTTGGGCCAAAGGGGCGCAACTAGCAGAACCTGTTCCTCGTCCTCCCTGACCTTGCACAGAAACTGCGCGAGCAGGCTCACTGGGGGAAACGCATACTTGCGCATGCCCCGAGGCCAGCTGTGGGCCAGTGCATCCGTGCCGAGAGAGCCCTCGGTCAGGGAAAAAAACAACTGGCAGTGAGCGTTCTCGGGGGAAGCAAACAGATCGATCTGGGCCTCCCCGAATCGCGCCCATATCAGCTGAACAGACTCGGGGTGGAGTCTCCATTCTCCAGGGCGTAACAGCTGTCGTGAGAGCGCATCGGCTGCACGATTGAGCGTGCCTGGGACGTGAATGGCGCGCAGCGATTTCAGCCGCGGGTGACTCCAGAGGAGCAGACGGCGGGCGAGCTGAGACATGCGGCGAGAGCGCATACCCCCCATGCGGTTGATATACGCCGCCGCCGCCGTACTGTCCGTCCTGACCAGCACGTGTCGCCGCTCCAGCACCGGTAAAAAGCGGTGGAGAGCGAGGAACACTGCCAACAGCTCTAGGCGATTGATATGCCAATGCAGCTGGGCACCCTTCCAGAGGCCCGCAGCCGCATGCCCGCGACACACGGCCCCCCAACCCGTGTTGGAAGCGTCTGTTGAAACAACAACATGGCTGGACGCCTGTCCTAGAGGCACACCGGCCTGTAGGAACGAGGGGTCGTTCCAAGGGCTGAGGGCGCGGCGACACAGCGCAGTAACCAAGACCCGGTGTGTGCCCGCGTGCCATGCGCGTCTGGGGACCCGATCGTGAAGCCAGTGCTGAAGTGGTCTCATATGGAGCAACCCGAGCGGCGTGACGGCGGCTGCAGATGCCATATGCCCCAGGAGCCTCTGAAAGAACTTCAGTGGGACCACTAGTTTGCTGTCGAGCTCCCTCAGACAGTTCAGCAACAGGCGAGCGCGTTCCTCGGAGAGGTGCGCTACCATGGTGATCGAGTCCAGCTCCATCTCGAGAAAAGAAATCCTCTGCACGGGGGCGAGTTTGCCTTTTTCTCGGTTGACCTGAAGCCCCAGTAGGCGGAGATGCCGAAGCACCTCGTCCCTGTGCATAATCAATTGCTCCCGCGAGTGGGCTAAAATCAGCCAGTCGTCGAGATAACCGAGTATGCGAATGCCCGCGAGTTGAAGGGGCGCTAGGGCACCCTCCGCGAGTTTGGTGAAGACCCGCGGAGATAGAGAGAGCCCGAAGGGGAGGACCTTGTACTGCCACGCTCGACCCTCGAACGCAAACCGCAGAAATTGGCGGTGGCGTGGAAGAATGGAGACATGGAAATACGCGTCCTTCAGGTCTATGGCTGCAAACCAATCCCGAGGACGAACGCATTGGAGAATGCGCCTCTGCGTGAGCATTCTGAACGGCAGCTTGTGCAGACAGCGGTTCAAAACGCGCCGTGACCCACCGCTCTTTTTGGGTACGATGAAGTATGGGCTGTAAAACCCACTCTCCATCTCGGCTGGAGGAACCGGCTCGATTGCACCCTTCGCCAGGAGGGCAGCAATCTCCTCTCGCAAGACAGGGGCGGACAGGGGGTTGACCCTGGAGAAATACACGCCCGTAAACTTGGGGGGCTGTTTCGCGAACTGAATCGCGTAACCGAGTCTGATTGTGCGTATGAGCCACCGCGAGGGGCTGGCCCGCGCTAACCAGGCAGGCAGAGCCCTCGCTAATGGAGTCATCGCTACAATCGCTGACGTACCAGCGGTGGGGCAGCGCGGAGTGGGTGTGCTGATCCGGGAAGCACGAGGGTCCCGCGGAAAAGCTGGAGGAGAGCGATTCGCTCTGGCTCCGCACCCTGACTCCGGAGAGGGGGCTGGAGGGCTGAGGGAAGGGAGACCGTCCCCCCAGTGCTCGTGAGCCACTGGCGAAGCACGTAGAGTCTGCGAGCCGGAAGGCAGCGCGTCCCGGACTGGCAGAACTCGTGCAGTCACATCCGGGGAAGGGAAAAAGTGCTCTTTTACTGATGTTTTGGTGGCACTGAAAAGTACCGTTGTTATCGGGGCCCCGCCCTCCAGCGGGGAAAGAGCAAGTTTCCTCTTCTCCGGATGGCCTGTCTCAGGGACGCTTCGCGGTCCGTTTACCGGACTTAACGGCGCCCTGGGCAGGAGGGGCTGCCTGCTTTCGAGGTGAACGCCGCGCCCGCTTGGCCGGAGGCGCAGGCGGGGGCGGGGCAGCACTCGTTGGCGGGCGCCCTCGGCGAGGAACAGCGGAGGTGGATGGCTCGGCGGGCGGAGCGGGCTTACGGCCACGCCGATAGATGACATTGCCCATCGCATCCGACTGCTCTTTCACCGCCTTGAATTCCTGGGTGAATTCACCGACGGTGTCGCCGAACAGGCCAGCCTGGGATATGGGCGAGTCAAGAAAGCGAACTTTGTCAACGTCGCGCATATCGGCCAGGTTTAGCCATAGGTGGCATTCCTGAACCACAAGTGTGGACATCGTCCTCCCCAGCGCACACGCGGCGGACTTAGTAGTCCGAAGAGCATAGTCGGTCGCGGTGCGCAGCTCATGTAATAAGCTTGGGTTGGACCCGCCCTCGTGCAGCTCGGCCAGCGCCTGCGCTTGGTAGCGCTGGTAGGTGGCCATCGCGTGCAAAGCAGAAGCAGCCTGGCCCGCAGCCTTATAAGCTCTGGCTCCGAGGGAGGCAGACAACCTACAGGCTTTGGACGGGAGGCGGGGCAAACCCCGCCACGTAGAGGCGCCGCGCGGACAAAGATTGACCGCGATAGCGCGCTCCACTGACGGGATCGCCTCATACCCCCTGGCAGCTCCGCCGTCAAGGGCGGTGAGGGCGGAGGCACTCGCAGCACGGGCAGAGAAAGGTGCCCTCCAGGACTGCGTGAGCCTACTGTGCACTTCCGGGAAGAAGGGGACGAGAGGCTTCGAAGGCTTCGCCTTCTGGTCCTCTACGTAGCACCCATCTAGTCGGTCCGGCCGCGGAGCTGGGGGATAAACCATCTCCAACCCCACGGCCGAAGCAGCCCGGGAAAGCACGGCTAACATGTCCGCTTCAGGATCCGATTTGACAGCGCTCACCTGCCCGGAGGGGGCGAGCGGGTCCGGATCTTCGTCGGACAGTGAAAGCCCACCCTCCGATGCCGCGGAGGACATCTGATCTCCGGTGTCAGCGAGTGTGAGAGCTACCATCTGGTTAGACGGATCACTCTCACCACCCGAAGCTTGGATGGAGCGCCGTGAGGAGCGAGAGGTCCGCGAGCCCGTGGGCGGCGGATTAGCTCCCGCTGAAACCCTCAGATCTGCCCGAGCGCCCGCTGCTTTTTTAGAACAGGAGGCAACTGGGGTGGCTCGCTCTCTTGCGAAAATTAGCCGCGATCTTAGCTGTGCAACGGTCATGGCATCGCAATGACGACATGAACCGCCCGCGAGCACCGCATTAACATGCTGGACCCCCAAACATGCAATGCAGTGATCGTGTCCATCATCCGGAGACAGGAAACCCCCGCATCCAGAAACGCACAGTCGGAGCGCCATCCTGAAAAGGACGTGCTGCACGACTGTGTTGCTCTTTTAGGAAAGTTGCAACTATACGCACCGCTCTGGAGGACCGGACCCAAAGAACCGCAGGCAAGGGAGTAACCCAGCTCGACCGTCTGCCACCGCGAAGACCCACTCTGGACCGGGAGACACACTCGTTCGCTCTGAAGTGCTGATCAGCAAGAGGAACCCTCATCGACTCACTCAGAAAGGATCTGAAGCGAAAAGGATGGCGTCTGCTGGCTTCAGGTGTGCTTATATGCTGAGATAATTGCAGATGTCGCACACCTGCGCAAGCTTACGCTGCCAATTAATTTCATTCATTGGCCCGTTCAATACTCTCCAGATAAGCGGCTTCTGATCCGAATCCTCCCATTCATGGCACTGAAGTTCCCCAACCGAAGGGGAACTGAATTTAACTGATATTCTATTCACAAATCTCGAAATACATAATTTAATTGATGCAAAATTGTTGGCATATCAGTATTACTAAAATATGTTTTGTTTTTATCATCTAAATATTTCAGCACCGCCTGCCAGTACAAGCTCTTCTACAACTGAGACTACAACAACATCTACAAGTAAACAATATAAATATAAACAAAGTTGACTATGCGTATATGGAGAGTTGTACCATTTTACACTTACTGTACATAATACTAGTAGATAGTACTAAGTAAGAATAAAATATGTAATGATCAGTACTTTAGGTATTTCACATCACCTCCTGAATATCAAGCATTCACAACTTCAATTGATAGGAAAATCCATGCTGTTTACATTAAGTAACTTTTGAGCATGATTAACAACTACTCAAAACGAACAACTGATGTTTAATACCCAGCAAATAAATTTTATTCTATTTTATTCATATATTATTTTTATTGTTTATTATTATTTTCAATTTATTTTATTATTTTAATCTATAAAATAGGCCATTGTATATGAAAGAAAAATATAAGTTTTCTAGCAGAAGCTAAAATGCTAATCATTTTTACCTTAGCATATAACAGACCCCCTAGTTTTTCACATTTTTTATTTTTATTTTTTTGGTCATTTTTCTGTGGTGGTAATTCCAATTAAATTAGTTTGTTCCATTGCTCCGTTTGTTAGATGTTTGCTCCAACTTTCCTTTGCAATCTGAAGCGCATCAAACGCACAAAGCGCCCAATTTGCACCACAGGATGTCTAATTACATCTTTGCTTTGACTTCACATGTAAATCACGCATCATCCATGTCTGCTTACTGCACAAGCTGAAATCTCAGCGATCGCTAAATCGCGAAAAACTAGGGGGTCTGATATAATCACAGTACAATTATATACAGTATTAAAATAAAATTATTGCTTTGAGCATTTCAGTCTTGCTTAAATTGCTTCTGTTCTCAATGCATTTATGTATTTCAGCACCCTCTACCAGTACAAGCACTACAACTGAGTCTCAAACAACAACACATATGAGTAAGTACTGTAACATGTACAGTTGAATCATTGTATTGTTGATGTATACTGACATAATCAACATTTCAAAATCCTAAGAATCTAGCACATACAATACAAAGTCCATAATTTTACAGGTTTACAAAAACGTAAAATAACGGCTGTTAAAATTTAAAATATTTACCTTAAAATAACGGATGTAAAATTACAGAAATTTCCATAAATTGAAATTTCCGGTTATTTTACAGCAAATGTCTGAAATTTAACGACTATTATTTATCAATAAAATATCGATTTTTTTTTTTTTTTTACAGTGCACACTCTAAAAAAGGTTTAGTTATTTATTTAAAGCAATAGTTGAGTTAAACATACAGTATTTGGTGCTTTGTTGGGTTATTTTAAACCTTTATTGGGTTATTTATTTAATAACTCAACCTAATGGGTTAAAACAATTATTTCAACAGTCAACTGATTTAACTGACACAGAACAGCAGTATTTATATGCTCATGTAATATAGTTTTTTTCTGTTATTGGGTTTATTTAGGCTCTAACACAATAATAATGTTATTTTTTTAATCAAATAACCTCTCCATTTCGGGTGTTTTATATTCGTTTCACCAGCACTCTTCATAGCCGATCTATATTAAATGGATAAAATGCTTAATTGTTTAGAACTTAAAATGTAATGAAAATAAAGCATTTTTAAAACTGAATGTTATTTATTTACACAGTCATAATTATAAAATCAATAGTAGTACCAGTAATAGTAGCAATAGTAACACCAGAATAAAAATTAATAAACATTTATTTAAAATAAACCAATGCATTGAGTTAAATTTGATAACCCAATGCATTGGGTTAAAATAACCCATAGTTGGGAAGGTGCTATGATAACCGTTAATAACCGTTATATAACCGTATAATAATAGTTGGGTTATATGTTTGGGTGTGTTTACCCCAAGCATTTTAACTGAGCATCATTGACATGAAAAGTGTACTGTAACAGGAAAGTGTACAGTTGACTTAAGTATATTAAATATTTTGATAACATTTTTGTGCACTACCATTCACTACCTTTAGAACTACCACTACCTTTTTTTTGCACTACCTTTAGAACTTCATTGAATTAAAAAAAAGTTAAGAAAATATTAAAGAAATTGTGTTTTTTTTTTCTTTTCTTCATCAAAATGTCCCAGCAGCCATTTCCACGACCCACTTTTCTTCAACTGAGTCTACAACATCAACAGCTCCTAGTGAGTATTCATGGACTACTATGTAGGGCTGCATGATTAATTAAAAAAAGATCACAATCTCGATCTTAACGATCTTAATTCAGCTTTTCTACGATTCACCCAATTATATTTTCAACTTCGGATTTATGAATAGTTATATTCAGATGTCATCATTTTACTGTGGATTAACAAACAGGACATATTGGAAGTCTGTTGAAGTCCACCATAATGACTATACAAAACTTAGCATTTTAACCAACAGTAGACCTACACATAGGCCTATTATTATTATTATTATTATTATTATTATTATTATTATTATTATTATTATTATTATTATTGTTTTACCATAAGTTCGATAATTAACAATAATAATTGCCTACCAATATTAACCTTTTCCCAGAGATGGGTTGTTGCTGGAAGAGCATGCGCTGCATAATAAAACTTGCTGGATAAGTTGGCGGTTCATTCCGCTGTGGTAACCCCAGAGTAATAAAGGGACTAAGCTGAAAAGAAAATGAATGAATGAATATTAACCTTTATTTTACCTCTAAATCTTACCTCTCAAGCAGCCCTTTTACTATGTGAACATTTTATTTGATAATTGGTAATTAGACATTCGATTTAGTTAAAGCTGCTGTAATCCTGTTTATATTAAAGTTGTGGTCACACTGCACTTTTTGCCCTCATAGAGTTCCATTCATACTAAAGCGAATGCGACAAACCTGCGAAATCGCATCATGTGACTGCTTGAGACCAATCGAAGATCAAAACATGACCAATTGCTCGCTTTTTTATCTAATCATCTTGTTTTATCCCGCCCCTTTTTACTGTGCCGTAAAACAGAATTTTGCCTGCTGAAACTCTAGTGTGACCATGGCATGGTTGCTTTTAGTTCGATTTTGTCCTTTTACAATATTCTGTACAGAAAAAAATATATATTTAAGAAAGAAAAGAAAACTATTTGTTTAATGACTTATCTTGCTTTTAATTATATGCAAAAATGCTTTTGTGAGCATGTCAGCTCAATGCAAATTTTGCAAACATTTTAACAGTTTTTAATCTTAACACGTTCAAGTATAACAATATGTGAGAATAAAAAATTTGACTGATTCTATCTTTTATTTAAAAACTAATTTTCTCCAATTGTTCTAGGACAAATTATTTTAGTGCTTGAGTTAACTTAGCTCTATAAGTTGCATTTTGGAATTGCAGCCCTGATCTAGAGGTCTGCATTATTTCACGTTTTATTTGGAAATGTTTTCCCGCTTCAAGATATCTGGTCGGGTACCTGGGGAGCTCTCTAAAATTAAAATTTAGGCAGGGCAGTGGGTGAACAGGCTGAATAGACAGTGAGAGCGGTCGTGTGCGGAATTAAACCTGGAGGGAGCGGTCAGAATCGAAACTAAAAATTTAATCCCATGCAGATCTCTACCCTGATTTATACATTTTTTTGCTGCATTTTCTCTTAGAAAAAAAAAAAACTGAATTGAATTAATATCTTATTCTTTTAACAGCATCTCCTGTCTTTACAAGCTCTTCTACAACTGAGACTCAAACAACAACACCTACAAGTAAGTAATATGTATGTGCAGTTGACTATATTTGGAGAGATTTACAATTTTACAGTTATTTGATATATTATAATAACTAGTAAATTGGTAACTTTTTACCATGATTAAATAACTTTTAAAAATAAAAAATTATTGTGATCATATAAATACAACAAATTCATATTTTAATTAATTAATTTAAATTGTAAATAATAATACAAACAATATTAAAATCAAAGTAATTTTGTTTTATTAATTCTTAATAAATTTATTTTAATTAATACATTTTAGTCAATTCGTTATTTTTATTTTAAATAAAGGGTGCTGTAGGGTGCTGGTGTGGGGTGGGGAGCACGCGTACTCAAGAGAGGTGTTGTCGCGCGCCTACTGAAGGGGGGTATGTCGCGGGGGCACTTTTGATCATTTTAGAAGGGCACTTTCTATCCAAGACTGAAAAGGGCATGTGCACTGCACAGGTTGAGCCCTATGTGTGCACGTGCCTGCTTTAGATATTTCAGTAACACTTAAATTAATTTTTTATTTTTAATAGATTATGTAGCGTTTACACCAGATGCAGATGTAGCATCAAGTAAGAGAGATATACATGTTAAGTCAATAGAAAGACGCAAATAGACATCCTGTGGTGCTGTTTGCGCAAATAAGGCTGCGTGTATGACACAATTTGTGCAAATGAAGTGGCACCAATTGAATGTTGTGCACGTTTGACGCACTTAACATGTGAATCGATTGCGTTGGAACATCTGAACCTTTGCAGACATTCATGCCACGATAACCAATCAGGAGCATGATTAAGACGTAGCACCTGTAGTGTTTGTCCCAAGGGGAAATCCTCCTGTTGACACCGAACAACAGCTTATCAAACTGGGCTTGGCTCAGTCGGAGGCATCACTGAAAGCTTCCATCATCCAGGTATAGATTCTAGAGGAGTTTATGAGCTGGGTGCACTTCAGGGATCTAGTGGCTGTTTTTCAGACACCAGGCAGGCAGAAGCCCTGCCCATGACACAAAATCTATTGTGAAGTGAATTTCACACGCAAACAATGCGATAAACTCAATGTTCAGGCATCTATTTACGCGTGAAGAATGATTTATTCTTGCAAGGCACATCTGGTGTGAACACAGCATAAGCACTTCTGCAACTCAAATAACAGCACATCTAAATAATATACTTATTAAATTGTTTAATTTTTTTTAACATTCTTTTTTATTTCTACTATTGTTTTGTTGGTGTAACAAATAGTTATATAAATTCAGATGACATGGAAAAAATGTACAAAATCCTGTCTTTTATTTTCATTACATACAGTATACAGAATTATTAGCCCCCCTGAATTATTCGCCTTCCTGTTTAATTTTTCCCCTTCCTGTTTAATTTTTCCCCAATTTCTGTTTAACAGAGAAGATTTATCAACACATTTTTAAACATAGTAGTTTTAAATACTCATCTTTAATAACTGATTTATTTTATCTTTGCTATGATGACAGTACATAATATTTGACTAGATCTTTTTCAAGACACTTCTATACAGCTTAAAGTGACTTAACTAGGTTAACTAGGCAGAATAAGTAAATAGGCAAGTTATTGTAAAACGATGGTTTGTTCTGTAGACTATCGGGGAAAAAAATAGCTAATAATTTTGTTCCTAAAATGTTCTTTAAAAAAAAATTAAAAACTGCTTTTATTCTAGCCGAAAAAAAAACAAATAAGAGTTTCCCCAGAGGAAAAAATATCAGACACACTGTGAAAATTTCCTTGCTCTGTTAAACATCATTTGGGAAATATTTAAAAAAGAAAAAAAAATCAAAGGGGGCTAATAATTCTGACTTCAACTGTATCTGTGTAGCACATGCAAAGCAGGATTTCACCAAATGCAAAATGTTTTGTAAATCTTTCAAGAAATATTAAGAAAAGTTTGATTGTTTCCTTCATCAAAATGTCCCAGCAGGCACTGCCACCACACACTCTTCTTCAACTTCAACCCAGTCTCAAACATCAACTTCAAGTGAGTAGTTTTATTTATGTGTAAACAATTGAATTAATAATGAAATGTTTAAGTTAATTAAAGGTGTGGGGGAATCCTGTTCATACTCGTGCAACTTAGGAATCTAGTTTATACTTTATACACAGAAACAACAAATATAAAAAACAATGGGTGAAATATTGCATCAAATGTGCTTATGGATGTTTTCAGGAATAAATTATGATTCATTAAAAACATCTGTGCTAAAATGTATTGTTAATGCATGGGGAAAAACAAGAACAAAGAAGAACAGGGCCAGTGTGACCACGTAAGGAACAGCCATGGTCAAGAGCATGATCAGCTGCCTGGTGTGTGATTCCATAGGAGTAGATGGCAGACAAGCTATGGCATGCAATGAGAGCATACACACCCCTGGTTGTTAATGAATGGTACCATGGCCATGTTGTCTGTCCTGACCAACACATGTTTCCTCTTGATATGGCAGTGCATCTGAGGTGTTTCCAATGAACTCAAGGATGCATGCTCATTGCATACTCTGCCCCGGCCCAGCCTGGAAGCATCTGCCATGACTACAACATGCCTGGACACTTTTTCTAATTATTTAAGAGCACGGAAGCCCTTAGAAAGGCAAGGTCTCACCAGGGGCTAAGTGCAGTGTTACACATTGGAGTGACAGGCACTCATTGTGTGATGTAACCGCTGCAAGTGCAATTTACCATATCTCAAACTAGTAGTCCTCCTATTGAACTGGTTTAGGCAGGCAAGCACTGACTGGGCACATTCGTGGTGAGCTGCATCATCATATTAACAATTCTAGCTGCATCCCAAAAAAAGCGATTCTACTGGATATAAAGGGGTGATCTTGTTCTCAGTTGACCCAAAGCCCAACCATAATATTTAATTCATTCATTTTCCTTCAGCTTAGTATCTGTTTCAGAGGCCGACACAATATTACAACTATTCCAGCATACAGTATGTTTTAGCAGTAAATGCCCTTCTAGCCGCAACCCTCAGACACACTCATACACTACCGACAATTTTGTTTATTCAATTCACTTATACCACATGTCTTTGGACTGAGGGGGAAATCCAAGTACCCGGAGGAAACCCATGCAAACATGAGGAGAACAGGCAAACTCCATACAGAAATGCCAACTGGCCCAGCCAGAATTAGAACCAGCGACCTTCTTGCTGTGAGGCGGCTGTGAACCACCATGCTGCCCTATAATATTTATTGATATTACATTATTTTTTAAATTTTATATATTTCAGCACTGCCTACCAGTACAAGCTCTTCAACAACTGAAACTACAACACCTTTAGGTAATATAAATATACACTTTGCATTTTAAAGTTATCGTATACTGTCCTAAACAGTACTTCATGTATTTCACATCATCAATTATATGTGTCGTTACAAATGCATGTTATTTCTTTATTTTTTGTGATGATTCATATGTTAAATGAGAAGAGTCAGCTTTTGTAAGGGAAGCTAAAATACTGTTTTTACACACAGTCATATTACAAAAATATATGATGATAACTGTTGCTTTAAGTGTTTCAGTATTATATTATATAAATACTTTAAGGAGGATGTGTCTATTGTACTGTTGATGTATATTGTACAAAATCCTGTCTAGCTAGCATTAGCACGAAAAACTGTATTGTAACATGAAAGTGCATTAATAACTCAATTGTATATAATATTTATATTATACAGTGTTCAGCATAATTGGGAAAACCCAATTTTGAAAATAAATATTTTTCTTCATTTTTCAGTGAATATAGGCAATGTATTTTAGTGCATTTAAACAAAACAGATTTATTAAACAGATATGTTTATTAAAATAATATTTTAATCACCCAACATTTTTAGATTTTGAAAGATAATGCAATTAATCTCAAGCAAAATATATTACAAACTAAAAAATTTTAACAAAATTTTTATTTTTATTTTTTTTTGTTTCTCTTGATTGTTCCTCTTTTTTTACAATTTCTATTTAATAATTTTCTATAACAAAAAATTTGGGTGTACTTGTTTTTGGACTGTTATCATAAGTTATTTTGTTAGATAAGAGTTCATACAGTCATGGAAAACTTGGAAAAGTCATGGAATTTCGACATGGCATTTTCCAGGCCTGGAAAAGGTTTGGAAAAACAGAAAAACCCACAAAGTTTTGGAAAAGTCATGAAAAACAGTTATCTGTATAATTAAATATAGGTTATTTACTTCTTTAATGTCCTTGGCCAATCACATACTCTCACATTATTAGTGCAGTGTAAGTATTTTACATTTAGTATTTTTTACGATATGCTGTAATAAATTTGAACGTGCATTGTTTTTCTTTTACCACGCATATGTAGACATTGCATAAAACATTAGGTCATGAAAATTTACTTGAAAGTCTAAGAAAAATCATGGAAAAGTCATGAAATTTTAGTAGTAAGAATGTGTATGAACCCTGATATAAGCTCCAGATTTGGCTTCAGTACTGAATAATCTAATGTAGATGAAAATATTAAATAGTATAGCATCCTATTAAAAATAAGAATTTAAAAGAGAGATTTGTGAGGGGTGTACTTATGCTGAGCACTGTATATATATTTGGGCACTACTTTCAATGCAAAACAGAATTTCAAATGTAAAAATGTAAAAATGTTTTGTTTGCATATCAAGAAATATTAAGAAAATTGTAACTTTATTTTTCATCAAAATGTCCCTGCAGCCTCTGTAACGACACACTCTTCTTCAACTCAAACATCGACTTTTCCAAGTGAGTAATTTAATTATGGACTACTCTGTAAACATTTGAATAAATAGTTGATAATTAATGATTCAAGTTAATTAGAGGTGCTGGAATGATGTTTATTCTATAGGACTATCACACTGTTGTAGTTGTAATAGATGTCATCACATGAATGAAGATGACTTCAATGTTATTGTACTTAAAAAAAATAAAAATAAAAAATCTATATATTTCAGTAACGTCTGCCAGTACAAGCTCTTCTACAAATGAGACTCACACAACACCTACAAGTAAGCAAAGTACAGTTTGCTATATTTGGAAAGTTTTACCATTGTATAGGTATATTGTAATAATAGGTCAGTTGGTTAGATAAAATCAATTTCTGAATATCATCAGAATCAGAAATGTCAATTAAATAAATGTTTACAATTATGTGTTTCATCATATATATATTTTTTTTTACCAGGATAAAATAACTTTAAATTAAAATTAACAGTTAGTTAACAGTTAAAATAACTAAATTTTCATGTATTCATTTATTTTTGGTTGGTAAATCATTGCAAACTAAAGAAAAAAGCCACATTTTGTAGAGGAAGCTAACATGCTAACTGGTTTTACCTTAGCACACCATCAGAATGCAAAAATATATGAGGATACTTAGTTTTGCTTTAAGAGTTTTAGTGTTATCTTTAATGCATTTTATGTTTTTCAGCACTCTCTACCAGTGCAAGCACTCCAATAACATCCCATACAAGTAATGTATTATTATGTGCAGGTCCCTAAATATTTTATACAGATGGTTTTATCGTTATATTGTAGATATATTGTAAAAATCAACATTTTAATATTCTAAGTATTAAGCATCAGCACATGAGAACCTTTGTAAAACTATTAAGAAATCTTAATAAATGTTTGACTCTTGTTATGTTTTTTTTTTTTTTTTTTTTTTTTTTTTATCAAAATGTCCCAGCAGCCACTGACTCTTCTTCAACTGGATCTCAAACATCCACTCCTTCAAGTGAATATTTTTCTCCATGGATTATTTTGTAAACATTTTAATTAAAAATATATATATATTAGAAGTTATACAATGGCTGTCACACTTGCTCCTCATTAGTTTTATCATTCCAAAAACATGTGTCCAGTTGCATTAGATTTTATAGCTTAAAAAAGGTGATAGAGAAGCTAAAATGCTGATGATTGTTTTTAATCTTAGCACAATGCCTAAGTACACAAGTATTTGAGAATAACATTTTACTCATTCTTTGTTTTGTTTATTTTATTTTTAAGTAATTTTCTGCTTTTTGGAAAAGCCACCTTTATTCATAGCAATAATTGCTGTATGATCATTTAGAAAACTTATCTGAATTGATATATTATTTTATTAAAATTTCTTGCAATAGATAATTTGATTTCATTTTTTCCCCTCTAAAATAAAAGCCACTGTCACGACACATACTTCTTCAACTGAGTCTCCAACTTCAACTTCTTCAAGTGAGTATTTGTATTCATGGACTACTGTAAAAAGATAAAGGGTCCTATCATACATCCAGTGCAATGAGGCACAAGACGTGTTTGGTGTGATTTGTTGCTATTTTCAGACCAGCACAACCCTAATTTTCCCATTTTGCACCAAGGTTTTTAAATATCAAATCCATTTGCACCACGTTTTTGGACTCATGGGTGTGCCAGGGTAAAATAGAGGTGTGTTGAGGCGCATTGTTGGCGTAGCTATTTTGAAGAACCGAAATATACTGCGCCATTGACCATGTAAAAGCATGTCTAAAATCTAGTGCAGAGCGCATTAGTTATGCATCTATGTGGGTTTAAACGCCTATACATTGCTTAATACACACAGAATGTACAGCAATACACAAATATCTTTACATATGAAAAAAATTAAAGGTTCAAAATGTTATTATTGTCTACATAAATATAAAAACTACTGCCTCCATGCCTTATGTAGGAGGGCTTTTTTACAGTTTATTCAATTTGCATTTGTATAATGTTATTATTATTAGCAGTATTATTTCATATATGCATATTTACATTTGTTTTAATAAAAACAAGTTTATATTTGTCCACCTGTCAGGTTTTGGAGATATATGCTTCACTATATTATGGGTGTAACCAGGGGTATGAAACTTACAACATAGGTGTGGGTCAACATGCAGGTTTATTAGAATGGTCAGGCAAGCTGTGTGTATGCAATCAGTCAGGATCAGGAACCGGTTGTATGTGTATTGCATGACTGAATGTGTAGTCCATTTCAAGCAGATCTGTAGTCCTATGTGTGTGTGAGTGTTTACCAGCAATCTCTGGTGGTTAGATTGCTGGTGATCATGACAATAGGGCACAAGAATAGGACGTGTTTGGATACAACTTTTTGACCACAGTTTGTTATTATTGTTCATTTATTTGTTTGCTGGAAATTAAAACTGACTTTAGAAATTCAGTTTAACAAACATTTAAATATGTAGGCTAATGGATGTCTTCAGTGGAGTGCATACAACAACATTTCCTTATCTACAAAAGTAAAGAAGTAAAGAGTAAAAGTAAAGAGACAGTAAAGAGGCCGCATAGAGGAGGCTCGTTCTTTATTCAATGCCTGCATATTGTCTGTTTAACTGTTGTCTTGATAGTGAAGGATTCAGTTCTTCCACTTACAAAGTCCACCATGTACATAGCAAATGCGCCATGCGCTTTAGGTAAAAGAGCCCTTAAATTGTGAAAAAAAACTGATCTTTTTGTTTTTTAAAAAGCATGGGTTCTTTTAGGTGTACTATAAATAATAACAAATGATTATTTGTGTAATTACTTATCGTCAAACACAGAATTTAAATCTATGCAAAAATGTTGTTGTAAACATGTCTATTGCTTTACTGTGTGAATTTTTGGTCATGGAGTGACTTGTTAGAGAAGCTAAAATGCTAACTATTTTTATCTTAGTACAATACTTAAGTACAACAGTAAATCAGACTAACAGAATAACATTTTTAATATCTTACTTAAGTTCACCTAGCTCAATTAGGGGTTTTAATTCTATGAACTAAGTTCTAATAGTTCAACGTAGGCTTATTTTTTTTTAGAAATCGCAGAGCTGATTCATTTAATTACATACATTTCCTACATTTACATTAATTAAAAAAATATTAAATAGTATGAATAATACTTATTCTATAAAAAATTTTTTAATACATAATTTGATTTCATTATTTTCTTTATTAAACTTTCCCTGCAGCCACTGCCACAACACACTCTTCTACATCTGTATCTCAAACATTTCAGAAGCTTGTAAACATTTTAACTGATAATTACAGATTAATGTTAATGTGGTACTGATAACTTAATTTGGTGTAATAAAAAATTGATAACAAGTGTAGTGTTCCTTACACAGCTAGTTGTTCAGTTTTACACGTCCCAACAACCGTTTTTAGTGAACAAGATGAACAAGCACTTTATGATAAACTGACAAACTATATTTAGCTTGTGTGTTCATCACCTAAGGTAATGTGATTTTTTTTCAAGTGCATTTTGAAATATAACCTAAGAACAAATATTGTTCTATTGTCAAGCTTGACCAATTATGCCTTTTAATCACTTGTTTTCTTCCATCCTCAAATTTCCTAAAAAACTACTTTTGAACTCCTCCTAGGTCATTGCTTCATTCTTCCCAAAATTACACAGCGTTTTTATTCAGAGAACGTTCGAGGTTACTAAAGTAACCCTTCGTTCCCCGAGGAGGGGAACGGAAGCACTATAAGTGGATTTGATTGTAAAATCCACGCATTGGGAGGTTCGGTTCAGAAGCTACTCGTCTGAAAGAGTATTGAACGGGCCAATTAAGAATGAATTGGCAGCGCAAGCCTGCGCAGGTGAGCGGCATAAGCAATCAACTGAGTATATAAGCTCACCTGGCGCCAGCAGACGCTATCCTTTTTAAGCTGAAGAGACTTTCAACAGCTAAGGGACAGTCATTATGGCGACGGAGTATAGTGCTTCCGTTCCCCTCCTCGGGGAACGAAGGGTTACTTTAGTAACCTCGAACGTTCCCCTTCGGGGGGAACTTCAGCACTATAAGTGGATTTGATTGTAAAATCCACGCATTGGGAGCCCATTGAAAGCGCCATAATGACTGCACCTTACCAACACCCCCGATGAGGAGATAGTCAAGCAAGCGTGACGCACCCACATCATGGGGGGCGCGGTCCTCCAACGTGTCCATGGCCCTAATTTATCCTACTTCAACAGAAGTTTTACGGATTTATATATATTTTTTGGGAAGTCGTGAGCATCTAGATAATTCTAGGAAAATACGACAGTACGTTGGGAAGCGTGCAATCCCGATAGGGAGGACGCTGCGGAGGCCATCTGTTACCCAAGGGGGGATAGATGGCAGAATTTACATATGGACTAGCCCTAAAAAGGGGGAGTACGCATAGCAAAAGAGTGGTTAGCGGGGAGGGAAGACACGGGTCCGCCCAGGGGGGGGACTTAACCGTGGCGGAATAAGCATATGGGATCGCCTAGTGGGGATCACGCATAGCAGGCACCTTTACCCAAAACGCGGGCTGACCAGCGGGCAGACCTACAACGTAGTGGGCCAGCAAGTGACTCCTCCGCTGAGTCAGTGCTGGGGGCCACGGACGAATCTGCAGGGCTCACCTGACGGGGAACTTTACTGACAGATAAAAAGGCGCACGTATCTCCGTGTTAGGGAAAATGGCGCAGCAAGCGTGTTTCAACACCCTACCGAATTGTTTCCTCAATCACCAAGGGTTACCTAATACCCTTGAGGAAACCGGCTCCACTCGCAGATTGTAAAACCTTGCAAATGTGTTGGGTGTCACCCAGCCCGCAGCTCTACAGATGTCTGTTAGAGGGGCGCCGCGTGCGCGCGCTCGAGAGGATGCGAAGCTCCGAGTGGAGTGCGCACGCGCTCTCGGGGGACGCGGCTCATCTCGGCTCTGATAGTGAAAGAAAGGCATCCACAATCTAGTGGGAACTTATTTCGGTACGGCACTTCCCTGCTGCCGACCGCTATAACAGACGAAGAGCTGCTCAGATGATCTAAACTCTGAGTGCGGTCCGGATAATACGCAAAACGCGAACTGGACAATAAAGAAGGGCTGGGTCTGCCTCCTCCGAGGGCAGCGCTTGCAGGCTCACTACCTCGTATTAAAACGGAGTGGTAGGAACCTTGGGCACATATCGCGGGCGGGGTCTCAGGACGTGAGAGAAGCCAGCCCAATTACAGGCACGAGTCACTGACCGAAAAATGCCTCCGGGTCCCCGACCCTCTAATCGATATCAACGCGACCAGCAGAGCTGTCTTCAGGGACAGAAAGATACTGAGTCGAGGATCGAAGGGATCTGACGCGGCTTGTGTAGCGAGGGCGAGATCCTAAGAGGGCATGAGAGGGGGCGGGGTGGATTAATTCGCTTAACGCCCCTGAGGAACCGGATGATGAGGTTATGCGTTCCCACGGTGCCGCCAGCCACCGCGTTATGAGAGCGGAGATGGCAGCCACGTAACCTTGAGTGTGGAGGGCGACAGCCTGCTCTCCAACTTCTCTCGGCGTAAAGAAAGCACAACGCTGATCTGGCAAATTACGGGGGTCTTCTCAGCGAGAGACACACCATTCAGTGAATAGACTCCACGTCAGGGCATAGGCGCGCTCGGGGAGGGGGCTCTAGCCCGAGTGACGGTATTAGCCACCGCAATGGGAGGTTACCTAAGTCTTCCTCGCGTCTAAAAATCTCTTCAAAGATCGGCGAGGGTGCCAGGTGGTGCCCTGTCCCTGAGAGAGTAGGTGCTCTCTCGAAGGGACTGCCAGGGGAGGGCTATCGCGAGGGAGAGCTCTGACATCCAGGTCCGGTTGAGCCAGAGGGGCGCAACCAGCAACCTGTTCCTCGTCCTCCCTGACCTTGCACAGTAACTGCGCGAGCAGGCTCACTGGGGGAAACGCGTATTTGCGCGTGCCCCGAGGCCAGCTGTAAGCCAGTGCATCCGTGCCGAGAGCACTCGGTCAGGGAAAGAACAACTGGCAATGAGCGATCTCGGGGGAAGCAACAGATCGATCTGGGCTTCCCCGAATCGCGCCCATATCAGCTGAACAGACTCGGGGTGGAGTCTCCATTCTCCAGGACGCAAGGCTGCCGTGCGAGCGCATCGGCTGCACGGTTGAGCTTGCCTGAATATGAATGGCGTGCAGCGATTTCAGCCGCGGATGACTCCAGAGGAGCAGATGGCGGGCGAGCTGAGACATGCGGCGAGAGCGCATACCCCCTATACGGCTGATATACGCCACCGCCGCCGTACTGTCCGTCCTGACCAGCACGTGTTGCCGCTCCAGCACCGGAAAAAAAACGGTGGAGAGCGAGGAACACTGCCAACAGCTCCAGGCGATATGCCAATGCAACTGGGTACCTTTCCACATGTCCGCAGCCGCATACCCGCAACGCACAGCCCCCCAGCCCGTGTTGGAAGCGTCTGCTGAAACGACAACAAGACTGGACGCCTGTTCTAGAGACACCCAGGCCTGTAGGAACGAGGGGTCGCTCCAAGGGCTGAGGGCGCGGCGACACAGCGCAGTAACAGAGACTCGGTGTGCGCGCGCGTGCCATGCGCGTCTGGGGACTCGATGGTGATCAGCCAGTGCTGAAGTGGTCTCATATAGAATAATCCGAGCGGCATGAAGCGGCTGCGGATGCCATATGCCCCAGGAGCCTCTGAAATAGTTTCAGTGGGACCACTGTTTTACTGTCGAGCTCTCTCAGACAGTACAGCATCAGCTGAGCGCGCTCTCCAGAGAGGCGCGCTGCCATGGTGACCGAGTCCAGCTCCAGCCCGAGAGAAGAGATCCTCTGCACGGGGGCGAGTTTGCTCTTTTCTCGGTTGACCTGAAACCCCCACAGGTGGAAGTGCCAGAGCACTTTGTCTCTGTGCATAATCAACTGCTCCGAGAGAGGGCAAAATTCAGCCAGTCGTAAAGAAATCGAGTATGCAGATGCCCGCGAGCCGAAGGGGCGCTGAGGCACCCTCCGCGGGCTTGGTGAGGACCCGCGGAGACAGAGAGAGCCCGAAGGGGAGGGCTTTGTATTGCCAAGCTCGACCTTCAAACGCAAACCGCAGAAACTGTCGGTGGCGAGGAAGAGTGGAGACATGGAAATACGCGTCCATCAGGTCTAATGCTGCAGACCAACCCAGAGGACGAACGCACTGGAGGATGCGCTTCTGCGTGAGCATTCTGAACGGCAGCTTGTGCAGGCAGCGGTTCAAAACGCGCAGATCTAGGATTGGCCGTGACCCACCGCTCTTTTTGGGCACGATGAAGTGTGGGCTGTAAAACCCGCTCTCCATCTCGGCTGGAGGGAGCGGCTCGATTGCATCCTTCGCCAGGAGGACAGCAATCTCCTCTCGCAAGACAGGGGCGGACAGGGGGCTGACCCTGGTGAATACACACCCGTGACTTGGGGGGCCGTTTCGCGAACTGAATCGCATAGCCGAGTCTGATTGTGCGTATGAGCCACCGCGAAGAGCTGGCCCGCGCTAACCAGGCAGGCAGAGCTCTCGCTAATGGACTCATCGCTACAATCGCTGACGTACCAGCAGTGGGGTCACTGATCCGGGAAGCTCGCGGGTCCCACGGAAAAGCTGGAGGTGAGATATTTGCTCTCACTCCAAACCCGAGCTCCGGAGGGGAGGCTCGAGGGGTGGGAGAAAGGAGACCGTCCTCCCAGCGCTCGTGAGCCACTGGCGAAACGCACCGAATCTGCAAGCTAGAAAGCATAGCGTCCCAGACTGGCAGATTTCGGGCTGTCACATCTGGGGAAGTGAAAAGTGCCCTTTCATAATGTTTTCATGGCAGTAAAAAGTGCCGTTGGAAATGGGGCCCCGCCCTCCAGCGGGGAAAGAGCAAGTTCCCTCTTCTCTAGATGGCCTGTCCCAGGGGCGCTTCGCGGTCCGTTGCCGGACTTAGCGGCGTTCTGGGCAGGGGGGCTGCCTGCTTCCGAGGTGCCCGACGCGCTCGCTTCGCCGGAGGCGTGTGCGGGGGCTGAGCAGCTCTCGTAGGCGGGCGCCTTCGGCGAGGAGCAGGTATGAATGGCACGGCGAGCGGAGCGGGCTACGGACCGCCGATAAGACATCACCCACCAACTGCTCTCTCACCGCCTTGAATTCCTGGGTGAATTCACAGACAGTGTCGCCGAACCTGGCTGGGGATATGGGGAAGTCAAGAAAGCGGACTTTGTCGACTTTGCGCATATCAGCCAGGGGTGGCGCTCCTGGACCACTAATGTGGACATCGTCCTCCCCAACGCACACGCAGCGGACTCAGTAGTCCGAAGAGCTAAGTCGGCGGCGGTGCGAAGCTCGTAAGCCTGGGTTGGACCCACCCTCGTGCAGCTCGGCCAGCGCCTGCGCTTGGTAGCGCTGGTAGGTGGCTATCGCATGCAAGGCGGAAGCAGCCTGGCCCGCAGCTATGTAAGCTCTAGCTCCGAGGGAGGTAGATAACTTACAGGCTTTGGATGGGAGACGAGGCGGACCCCGCCAAGAAGAGGCGCCGCGCGGATTTACCGCCATCGCGCACTCAACCTGAGGAATCGCCACATACGCCCTGGCTGTTTCACCGTCAAGAGTGGTTAGGGTGGAGGAACACCCAGCACGAGCAGAAAAAAAAAAAAGTGCTTTACAAGACCGCGTGAGCCTACTGTGCACCTCCGGGAAGAAGGGAACGCCCCTCTAGTCGGTCCGGCCGCGGAGCTGGGGGATAAACCATCTCCAACCCACGGCCGAAGCAGCCCGGGAAAGCACGGCTAACATGTCCGTTTCAGGATCCATAGTGACAGCGCTCACCAGCCCGAAGGGGGCGAGCGGGTCTGGATCATCATCGGACAATGAAAGCCCACCCTCCGATGCCGCGGTGGACATCTGGTCTCCGGTGTCATCGGGCGTAAGGGCTACCATCTGTTAGACGGATCGCTTCCCCCGCCCGAAGCTTGGATGGAGCGCTTAGAGGAGCGGGAGGTCCGCGGGCCCGTGGGCGACGGATTATCTCTCGCTGAAACCCTCAGATCTGCCCGAGTGCCCGCTGCAGAGCAGGGGACAACTGGGGTGGTTCGCCCTTTTGCAAAGGCTAACCGCGATCTTGCGCAACAGTCATGGCATCGCAATGACGACATGAACTGCCCGCGAGCAGCGCATTAACATGCTGGACCCCCAGACATGCAACGCAGTGCCCGCGCCCATCATCCGAGGACAGGAAACCACCGCATCCAGAAACGCACAGTCGGAGCGCCGTCCTGATAAGGACGTGCTGCACGACTGTGTTGCTCTTTCTGTGAAGTTTGCAACTTTATACGCACCGCTCTGGAGGACCGGACCCAAAGAACGCCAGGCAAGGGAGAAACCCAGCTCGACCGTCTGCCACTGCGTGTACACACTCTGGACCGGGAGAATGCTCTCGTTCGCTCAGAATCGCTGGTCACAGCAGGAGGAACCCTCATCGACTCGATCAGAAAGTCTCTGAAGCGAAAAGGATAGCGTCTGCTGGCGCCAGGTGAGCTTATATACTCAGTTGATTGCTTATGCCGCTCACCTGCGCAGGCTTGCGCTGCCAATTCATTCTTAATTGGCCCGTTCAATACTCTTTCAGACGAGTAGCTTCTGAACCGAACCTCCCAATGCGTGGATTTTACAATCAAATCCACTTATAGTGCTGAAGTTCCCCCCGAAGGGGAACTTGCTGTTAACTGTTAGATTAATGTGTAATTATTTTGACAGACCTTGTGAAACAGCACTTCATTGCATTTAAAATGTTATTTTAAGCTATGAATTATTATTTAAAAATATACTTCTTGTATTTTTTCTATTTTTTGTACACTTCAGCATCTCATACCAGTACAGGCTCGTCAACTACTTCTCAAACAACAGCCTATTCAAGTAAGTAATATGAGTAATATGTATGAGTTGTCTAAACATTTTATGAAGGAGTTTTACTATTTCTATATTACAACCCCAAATCAAAAAAAGTTGGGACAGTATGGAAAACACAAATAATAATAAAAAAAACAAAGAAGTGATTTCTAAATTGACTTGTATTTCATGGCAGAAAATATGTTTATGTTTTGAAAATAAACACATATTCCAATTTTGGTTCTTAAAACACATTAAAAAAAAAATTGGAACAGTTAAGCAGTTACCACTTTGTGAAAAAAAAAGTTCCATTCCTCTTCACAACACTTAAAAGATGTTTAGAAATTGAAGACACCAAACGATGAAGTGTTTTAGGTGTCATTTTGTCCCATTCTTCCTGCAAACAAGTCTTAAGTTGGGCAACAGTACAGGGTCTTCGTTGTCACACTTTATGCTTCAAAACCCACCACACAATTTCTATTGGAGACAGGTCAGGACTGCAGGCAGACCAGTCAAGTACCTGCATCCTCTTCCTCCACAGCCAGTACTTTGTAATGTGTGCAGAATAGCGTTTTGCCTTGTCTTGCTGACATATGCATCAGCGTCCTAAGAAAAGATGTTTTCTTGACTGCACAACCCCATACCATGACAGACCCTGGCTTTTGAACTTGTTGCTGGTAACAGTCTGGATGATCTTTTTTTTCTTTGGTTGAAAACACACAGCATCCAATTTCTCCCCAAAATACATGAAATACTGATTCATTTAACCACAATAACTTTGCACTTTGTAATGTTCTACCCGTCACTAGCCCTGAAAAGTTGACGATGCTTCTAAACGCTGTTAACCAAGGGCATCCTCTTGGCACATTATAGTTTTAACTGCCATTTGTGATGTAACTACGTATTGTGGTACTTGACAAAGGTTAGTCCTAAGGTACTTGACATAGTAGTCCTGAGCCCATGTGGTGATATTGCTAATAGATTATTGACAATTCTCGATGCAGTGCAGCCTGAGGGATTGGAGGTTTTAGTTTCTCAGCTTAGGATCGCGCCTTTGTCCTTTATGCTCTGAAATTCCTATAGATTACTTGAGATGTTTAATGATGTTATCCAGTGTTGAAAATGAAATATCCAGTTTCCTATCTTTCTTTTAGGGATATTGTTTTTAAACATTTTAATATTTTTCTCACATTTTTGTTGGCAAACTGGTGATCCATGGCCCATCTTTGCTCCTAAAGGACTAGACCTTTCTTGCATGCTGCTTTTGTACCAAATCATAATTACAATCACCAGTTGACATCACCTGTTTTGTGTTCATATTGTCTGCAATGAAATGCCAGTCAAATCAAATTTTAAAATCACTACTTTCTTTTTTTTATTTGCCTTTTCCATATTGTATTAACTTTTTCTGATTTGGGGTTGTAATAAATAATCTACTTTGTTTATTACAAATCACCTACTAACCTTTCTTTTTTAAGAATTGTGTTGTACGGTAAAAATGCTTTTGAAAACTTAAATTTCTATTCTATTAAGTTAATCTTTTTCTTCTTTGTTAAAAATCACACAGGCACTGACACGACAGACTACACTTCAACTGACTCTCAAACATCAACTCCAACATCAAGTAAGCATTTTTATGAGTGGAATATTGTGTGAACAGTTCGATTGAAAATTATAATTAAAGGTCCAAGCGGTAAAGTTGTTGGACCCTTATTGTGTTTGTACTTAGTCACAAAAAAAAGTACATGACTAAAAAACAAGAAAAATAAAACTTTTACCAATCTTTACTCGTTTTCACAAAATTTTTATTAGAAAAAGCTATTTTTTTACACAGTTTACGGTTAAAGTTATGTGTTATTCCATTATTACTTATTTAATGTAGAAATTGTCATTTTAAGTATTATTTTCTGTCTCTTTCTACCTAAATATTTCAGCATCCCATACCATTACAAGTTCTCATACAACTCAATCAACAGGACCTACATGTGAGTAATTTATATATACATTTATACAACAGCTCTGTCTGGTTTTCGAATCTGATTTGTCTGATAGGAGTGTGATATTCTGCAACACCTGAACTCCTACAGCCTCCTCACCCTTTTGTATTACTTTGCCCATATAGAGTGACAGCAGATCAATAGACTCACTACAGTTTGGCAAATATTGCAGCTGTTGGGCAACATCATGTACTTTTGAGACTTTTTAAGCAAGAATGTTGTTAAGATTGCAACTTTGCAGTTTATTTATGAGGGTAGTGCCTATTTTAAAATGGCGACATAAACCACATAATAAGCCCTTAGAGGAGAAAACCTAATGTAATTTTAAAGTTGATCAAATCATTATAAAATTTGTAAGTTATTTCCTAAGTCGATCTCTCTCTTTATTATGTTGCAGTGCTGTATTTATACCATAGTAACTGTAGTATATTAAGTGTGAAATGGGACTCTTATCAGGAATGCATATATTTTGTGTAGGCCACTCTTTGTATAACCCTGAATAACTTTTTGGTTGGCCATCTGTTTGTTTCTAATGAGTCTCCTGTTTTCATTACTGCAGACTAGTTCAGTAAAAAAAAAGAAGAAATGCCCGCACGTTTTTAGCGTTTTCCTTATCGCAAACACAACAGTAATCTGGTGTTGTTTGCGCTGCTCTGGCTTTTTCAGGGTTAATTATTGTGATATCCCAATTGCAACAGAGAAATACGGGGAGATTTCTCTGTAGACTGATGGCATTTTTATGCTGTTCAGCCTTATAATCTTAAAATTTGAGCAAAATTACCTGCTTTGTCATCACTTTAATGTTAGAAATGATGCTAGAGAATCATTTAAATACTAATTTTAAAGTGACAATTGTGAAGTAGCAATGGTGTTAACACTATTTTAATGGTCCATTTGAGTATTAGTAGACTCACTGCTTAAAATTTGTTGATACTGCTCCTTCAACAGAAACTTAACTGACTGTAAAAAAACTTTGCAAGTAGATGTCAACTTACACTAACCACAATCTAACAGTCTACATATAATCTAATGAGAATTAGTCAGCATGTAGATGCAATGCAACTTAAATTCAACAAAGAGACCAGCAAAATAAAGTTTGACTGCAACATTTTCTGCTGTTCTGACGTCAGCTGCATATGTGAATGAATGGCGAAAGAAAGTAGTTCCTCGTACAAAAGTTTTGGTATTTCAGTGTTAATTTAGAATTTATAATAATTGCTGTTTCAGGTATTTCAAATCACTCCCAAAGTATAAAGCACCTTCTGTAATATAAAAAATATTTAGTTTACAGTTCTGTCTAATGTTTATATTATATATTAAGTGTATTTAAATGAACATTCAATTTCATTGTATGCCGTAATGTTTTTTACAAGCATGTTAAGAAATATTAAGAAAATTTTAATTATATTGCTTGATCTAAAATGTGCCACCAGCCACTGAAACAACAGACTCTTCAACCCAAACATCAGGCTCAACCCAAACATCAGGTTCAACCCAAACATCAGGCTCAACTCAAACATCAGGCTCAACCCAAACATCAAGCTCAACCCAAACATCAGGCTCAACTCAAACATCAGGCTCAACCCAAACATCAAGCTCAACCCAAACATCAAGCTCAACCCAAACATCAGGCTCAACCCAAACATCAGGCTCAATTCAAACATCAGGTTCAGCTCAAACATCAGGCTCAACTCAAACATCAGGTTCAACTCAAACATCAGGCTCAACTCAAACATCAGGCTCAACTCAAACATCAGGCTCAACTCAAACATCAGGTTCAACTCAAACATCAGTGTCTTCGAGTAAGTGTTTATATCAATGTATTACATAAAATTACCATTAGATACCTGGAACTTAAAGAAATCGGATGGATAGATGAATGGATGGATGGATGGATGGATGGATGGATGGATTCTGATACTGTTTCTGTTATCATATGAAGAAATTTTTAGAAACTTGCGATTCTATGTCTTTAATTTTCAAATTTCCCAGCAGCCACTGCCACAACATACACTCCTCCAATGCCATCATCTGCTTCTTCAAGTGAGTATTTTTATTTTCTGAATATTGTGTGACCATTTTAATTGTACATTTATTTATTTATTTATTTATTTATTTATTTAGGTTTTAATGCCATATCAGCAGCATTGGCTATATTCATGGCAAAAACATCTACTAATAAATATACAATATATAATCATGACATCAAATTAGTTTCTTAACAAACATACGTTGTAAAAAAAACAACAAAAAGTATACAAGTAGCAACAACACTGAAAAGAGTCATATAAAATCTTTTAGTTTGATTAAAGATAAATATTCTAAAAATGCTCCAGAAGGCACCTTTTCAAACATTTCACTCAAAATATTTCCTGAACAAAAACGTTCTCTAGTATAATTTAAAAAAGCATATTCTAATAAAATATTTTTTATCGTCAAAATATTCTTACACAAGTCACAAATAGGTTTTTCTTCCCCTTTCAATAAATATGCGTGTGTAAGTCTTGAGTGTCTGATTCTGCATCTCGTACAACCTGGTCAAGTCTATTTTCAAAACGGCAATTATTTCTTTCATTTACAAATCGATTCACTTCATGCAATTTGTTAATTTTTATATGGACAATTGTAATTAAATGTTTAATGGAGGTGCTGGAAAATCCTGTTTTGTTTGTCTCATTATTGTACAATCACTGTTATTGCATTAAAGAAAGGCTAATATTACAGTGATCAATGCACAATATGCACATTTATTTAAGGTGCCGTGCTTTGTTTTTGTTTGCATTGTTATCATGCACAATTATAATAAACTCTGATTATTAAACATCTTTGGGCTTTAGTAAGTTTAATAAAGCTCATAAAGTAAACATGCACAAAAAATGTTCTGCGTTTTTTAATTTCCACAAAATGAAAATAGTTTTTTAACTGACAGACCATTTTCACCAATTTGTTCTTTTAAACATTTAAATATGACTTAATTGTTTTCTATTTTTGGCGTAATTGCATATTTCAGCTTTTTGCAATATAGTGTGTGTGTGTGCGTGTGTCAGCTTTTAAATACAATGCAGAATTTTATTATGTGAAAGTGTAAGAATGTGAAGAAATATTCAGAATCTTGTGATTCTATTTGTTAATTCTTCAAAATGTCCCAGCAGCCACTTTCACAACACACACTCCTTCAACTGTGTCTACAACATCAGCTTCTACAAGTGAGTATTTTTATTCTGCCAATATTATGTAAAACAATTGCTGTGATGCTGTTGATCCTATTTTGATTTCTCAATACTTTTACAATATCAGACTTTTCACTAAATGAATATCATGCGCAAAAGAAATTACCACAAAAACACAAAGCAATTTATATAAAAAATTAAAAAAGATTATGTCAAATTAATCTTAAGTGACTGGTCACTTTTTATATGATTAACATAACAAAATACAAGAAAACTAAAGTGGTGTTAATATTGTCCAGATGTGCTTTAAAAGGGGAATATAGGGAAATTGTGAACTCGATTTATCCTAGTATAGTGTCAAAGTTAGGAGTACTTATCTGAACTATTTCTGTGAACTAATGTGGCTACTTTTGACAAATTCAGGTAAACTGTTTTATAGTATTATATACATCTTTCTAATAGCTGCGACTTATCAAATTATAGTGATAAACCCTTAATGACTTAAATAGAATATATTGTTGCAATTGTGTACTGCGTTTATCATCAGTCAAACAATAGCTATTTCTCCATCCACCTATTTTTATAAGCATTTTGGATATGCGCTGAAAAAAGGTTGATGAAAATCATCAATTTTGAAAATGCGCATAAAAAACATGCGTGCATAACTGAGTAGGATAAACTTTTCATTCGATAAGAAAAAAAAAACGCATAAACTACAATAGAAACACTTTTACCTCACAAGTTCCAGTATGTGCATTAAAAAAAGTTGTGATTTTGTTGAAGAGATCATGTGATGATAAAAACTTGTTATTGGACAAACCAGCAGGCTGAGCTGTTGTTTTGGTTGTTCTAAAATACCAATTTTAGTGTTATTATATTATTAATTACCTCCAGAACTGTCAAGACCTTCTGTGCTCCATGTCTGAGGCCTTCAAACGCCACCACACGTTCATTGCGTGTCCAACGCAATCTCACGCCAATTCCTAACTTTTTGATTTAGTGGCTAACTCGAATGAATTTGTACGATCTAATTTGTACAATTTAGTACGATTTGCTCATCCCCCAGTGACGGTTAGGGTTAGGGGTGGGGTTGGGTGCCATGCCTTCTTTTTAAAATCGTACATTTTTTTATAAACTCTGATTATTAAACATCTTTGAGCTTTAGTAAGTTTAATAAAGCTCATAAAGTAAACAACATTCACAAAACTTTACTTCTCTGATAAATAAAATGTGCTGCGTTTTTTTAATTTCCACAAAATGAAAATAGTTTTTTAACTGACAGACCATTTTCACCAATGTGTTCTTTTTAAACATTTAAATATGACTTAATTGTTTTCTATTTTTAGCGTAATTGCATATTTCAGCTTTTTGCAATATAGTGTGTGTGTGCGTGTGTCACCTTTTAAATACAATGCAGAATTTTATTATGTGAAAGTGTAAGAATGTGAAGAAATATTCAGAATCTTGTGATTCTATTTGTTAATTCTTCAAAATGTCCCAGCAGCCACTTCCACAACACACACTCCTACAACTGTGTCTACAACATCAGCTTCTACAAGTGAGTATTTTTATTCTGCCAATATTATGTAAAACAATTGTCGTGGTGCTGTTGATCCTATTTTTATTTCTCAATACTTTTACAATATCAGACTTTACACTAAATGAATATCATGGCCAAAAGGAATTACCACAAAAACACAAAGCAATTTTTATAAAAATCATGTAAAAATAAGTATGTAATGCTATCTGTCAAATTAATCTTAAATGACTGGTCACTGTTTGATTGATTAACATAACAAAATACAAGAAAACTAAAGTGGTGTTAATATTGTCCAGATGCGCTTTAAAAGGGGAATATAGGGAAATTGCAAACTCTATTTATCCTAGTATAGTGTCAAAGTTATGAGTACTTATCTGAACTATTTTCATACGACATTTTCATACGACTGAACTCAGGCTGGCGTGTCTGCATTGTCTACTAAGGCACAAGTCATTTATTAAATGAAGATTCACGCAGCTTCTCCTACCGCAACAAATTCCGTTTTTACTTTTAATATTTGACGGCCAGATAATCAGAAAGTGACAATTTTGTTCTCTTTGACTCATTGGATGAAAACGCAGCTTTATTCTCACAACTTTTTTTGCGATACTAAAATATTATTTTAATATTAAATTAAATTATAATATTAAATATTAAAGCTAACTTCTGTCTGCATTCTGCTCTGCTACGGCAATAACTAGATTCAAAAACATAGCTTCTGCTACTCCATGAGTTTTGCTTGTGGATTTATCCTGTGAAAAGGAGTGCAGTACATGCAATAAATTACATATATCAGTTTAAAGGTCTGTTCTGGCACTGCATAATAGTTTTGTGGTCTATTAAAATTTTGTCAAGGTGTCGTCAATGCTGTATTTTGTCACCTCTTATTCACAAAATAACATTTTATTTTTATACATTAAAAGTGTCACTGCTAGTTTTCCTTTTTGTTTTTCTGTCTTAAACATTGGAAGATGCCAAATGTGCACCACTAATGTCTGTTTTAACACTAAAAAATGCTTGTTACTATTTGTCTTGTTTCTAGTCCAAAATATAAAAAAATTCTTAGAGCAAGAAGCATTTACTAGACAAGCAAAACGTATCATCCTTCTTTAAGAAATGTACATTCACTGGCCACTTTATTAGGTACAGTCCTAACTAGTACCGTGTTGGACCCACTTTTGCCTTCAGAACTGTCTTAATCATTCATGGCATAGAATCAACAAGGTATTGGAAATATTTCTCAGAGATTTTGGTCCATATTGACATGAAAGTATCACAGTTGCTGCAGATTTGTCGGCTACACATTCATGGTGTGAATCTTTCATTGAACCACTCTATTGGATTGCGATCTGTAGACTGTGGAGGCCATTTGAGTACATTGTCATGATCAAGGAACCAGTCTGAGATGTATGACATGGCGTGTTCTCCTGCTGGAAGTAGCCATCAGAAGATGGGTACACTGTGGTCATAAAGGGATGAACATGGTCAGCAACAAAACTCAGGTAGGCTGTGGTATTGATACGATGCTCAATTGGTACTAATGGGCCCAAAGTGTGCCAAGAAAATACCCCCTACACCATTACAGCACCACCACCAGCCTGAACTTGATACAAGGCAGGAGGGATCCATGCTTTCATGTTGTGTCACGCAAATTCTGACCCTATTATTCGAATGTTGCAGCAGAAATCGAGACTCATCAGACCAGGCAACATTTTTCCAATCTTCTATTGTCCAATTTTGGTGAGCCTGTGCAAATTATGTTCTCAGTTTCCTGTTCTTAGCTGACAGGAGTGGCACCCTGTGTGGTCTTCTGCTGCTGTATCCCATCCATCTCAAGGTTGAACATGTTGTGCGTTCAGAGATGCTCTTCTGCATACCTCGGTTTTAACGAGTGGTTATTTGAGTTTCTGTTGCCTTTCTATCAGCTCGAACCTGTCTGGTCATTCTCCTCTGACATCAACAAGGAATTTGCACCCACAGGCACAGACACATATTTTCTCTTTTTCGGGCCACTTTCTGTAAACCCTAGACATGGTTGTGTGTGAAAATCCCAGTTGATCAGCAGTTTCTGAAATACTCAGACCAGTCTGTCTGGCACCAACAACCATCCCACGTTCAAAGTCACATAAATTACCTTTTTTACCCATTCTGATGCTCAATTTGAACTTCAGCAGATCATTTTGACCATGTATACATGCCTAAATGCATTAAGTTGCTGCCATGTGATTGGCTTATTAGAAATTTGCGTTAACATAAGTTGGACAGTTGTACCTAATAAAATGGCCAGTGAGTGTATGTCAGAATTACGTTTTTCTCTAAAACAAGCAAAATAATCTATCAATGGGCTGAGCAAAATAATATTTTATCAGCTGGAAAAACTTGATTATTTTGCTTGTTTTAAGGAAAAGCTCTTACTTTTTTTTGGCTTTCCTCATGCTTCTTCATTTAATTATTATTTTTTTTTTTAGATATTTGGACTAGAAACAAAGTAAGAAAAGCGTGTTTTTGCAGAGTAGGAGTGATTATATTAAATTATTATGCATTTTAAATTTTAACTTTGGGAGCCCGAAGGCAAAAAATAAAAATAAATTCTTGAGTCAAGTGCAGCAAATATGTCTCTTCTTTAAGAAAACAGCATTGGAAAAAAAAGCTTCACAATTTTTACAATTATTTAAATGCATAATTTGCATTTCAAACTACTTTTGTACTCAGTGCAGTTAGTCATACCTTCTATTATCAAACCTGCGATAAGTCAGTGCATATTACTGACATTATTTCTGTTTTTTTAAAATAGCACCCTTAAAATAACACCCTGTACCAGTACATCTTCTTCAACCCAAACTCAAACAACAGCAAAAGCTATATATATATATATATATATATATATATATATATGTGTGTGTTTTACATTTGTGTCAACATTTCTTGAGTGCAGCATTCTATTTTATGCACAAATGTCTTTAAATTGTCAACAAATGCTATAAAATTATGATCTTGTTGTTTACGAACTGAACAGCCGCTGCCACTACAGACTCTAATCAAACATCTCCAACAACAACACCAAGTGAGTATTTTAAATCTTTACTGTTTTTTCTGCCCTGGGCATATTTACAGACATTAAATTGGTACACACCAATTTTATTATTAATACTGGGTCGCTGGTTCAAGCCTCGGCTCAGTTGGCGTTTCTGTGTGAAGTTTGCATGTTCTCCTTATGTTCGCGTGGGTTTCCTCCGGGTGCTCCGGTTTCCCCCACAGTCCAAAGACATGCGGTACAGGTGAATTGGGTAGGCAAAATTGTCCGTAGTGTGTGTGTAAATGTGTGTGTGGATGTTTCCCAAGGATAAGTTGCAGCTGGAAGGGCATCCGCTGCATAAAGGCTTGCTGGATGGGTTGGCGGTTCATTCCACTGTGGAGACCCTGGATTAGTAAAGGGACTTAGCCGACAAGAAAAATTTATATATATATATATATATATATATATATATATATATATATATATATATATATATATATATATATATATATATATATATATATATATATATATATATATATATATATATATATATATATATATATATATATATATATATATATATATATATACAGTTAAAGTCAGAATTATTAGCCTCCCTTTAATTTTTTTAATATTTCCCAAAGGATGTTTAACAGAGCAAGGAAATTTTCACAGTATGTCTGATAATATTTTTTTCTTCTTGAGAAAGTCTTGTTTGTTTTATTTCGGCTAGAATAAAAGCAGTTTTTTTTTTAACACCATTTTAAGGACAAAATTATTAGCCCCTTTAAGCTAACTTTTTTTCCGATAGTCTTCAGAACAAACCATCATTATACAATTACTTGCCTAATTACTCTAACCTGCCCAGTAACCTAATTAACCTCGTTAAGCCTTTAAATGTCACTTTAAGTTCTATAGAAGTGTCTTGAAAAATATCTAGTAAAATATTATTTACTGTCATCATGGCAAAGATAAAATAAATCAGAGATTAGAGATGAGTTATTAAAACTATCATGATTAGAAACGTGTTGAAAAAAATCTTCTCTCTGTTAAACAGAAATTGGGGAAAAAAATAAACAGGGGGGCTAATAATTCGGACTTCAACTATATATATATATATATATATATATATATATATAGCACCCAAGCTGACAAAAAAAAAAAAAAAAAAACACAGAACGGAAACAAATGGTTAGACTTTAAGTAAAAAGGTATTAAAAAAAGATTTTTATGTGAATTCATTGTTCACATCAAGACTTTTTTGATTTGATTTTCTAGTGAGAAGTTGAGAAGTTAGAATCAAAGTGAACAAATATTCCCCTAGTTGCCACCAGAGCTCTTTCAGAAGTCTGTCTAAGCTCCTGTATGTTTAGGTAATACTAGTTATAAAAAAAAAAAAAAAATTCTAAACTTAAACGCGTCATGGCATTTATATATTGGCGCTTTCTGATAATTTGAAGTGCTTTTGTATCCTCACAGGTAAGTTGCTTTGTAAAAAAGCACCTGCTAAATAAATTATTATTCAAGAGTTCACACTTAGCTAATGATTGATTATAAAGCATGTTTGGCATGCTGTCCCGGGAGAGAGCACTTAGCTCATAAGATTGTCGAGCCCGGGGCTCCCTCCCGTTTGCAAGGCAAGAGGGGAGTTTGAGCTCAGCTAGGTCCGAGAACTCCCCTGCTGTAGAAGCTTATGAAGAGATAGTGATTGCTCTTAAGACATAACTACTTACTAGGAGCATGTCTATGGTGCTGATTTGGATTAGTCCATTAACTTAAGTTGCATGTTTTTGGACCGTGAGAGAAAACCAAGGAACCTGAAGAAAACCCATGTGAGCACGAGGAGAACGTGTAAACACCACACAGAAATGCCGGCTCGCTTGGTAAGGACTAGAACGACTGACATTCTTGCTGTAAGGCAACAGAGCTAACCACTATGCCACCCATCTAGGAAAGGAGGAGTAGGGGTGGAAAGTGGGATTCTTCAAAACGGAAATGGCTGTGATATGGAACTTGGGGTATTTACAGTGGCCAAGAATCGTCTGATTGGTGAATCATAAATTGAATAATGCGGGACTGGCCGCAAGCAATCATAAGCACGTGCTCCTCTCGAAATTAGCTTAGAGATAAACTTCACTAATCCAAAGTTTTTAATTTGGTCCCTGCTGTTCTAATTCGGACTCCATTTCCAAAAACTCTTGTGCTTGACATTAAAATCCCCTTGCTGGTGTTTGATCCCACTTGAGCTTTACAGTGTGTTACTTCCAATAAAGCTGCACATAGAACCCAACTCATGTTTACTTCCCTGTCAGTCTGTTGCTTGTTAATTTAGATAACAAACTGCATTTATTTCTGCACGTGTCCTGTATGTTTATTTATTATTATTAATATGTTTTAAAATACACATTCATGATTTGTTTTTCTCTCTATCACACAGAGCCAGATCTGAACTGGAAGTTTACAGTCTCTGATATCACTACATCATCTGTAAACTTGACATGGCAAGCGATAGATAAAGATACAGCTTACTATAAACTTAACTGGACTGATGGTGGAACACAGCGAAATGGGACAAATACAACTGCCCTTTTCTATTGGGTCACTAATCTGGCTGCTGGAGTCAATTACACATTTTGCATCACTGCCGTAAATCAACTCTCAGTAGAAAGTGATCCTGTCTGCATCTCAAGTTTTACAAGTATGTAAAATAGCATGCTTTGTAATTATGAATCTAACTTACTGTATAAATGCTGTTGAATGTTTCCCTGTCCCCAAGTCCATGCACTGTATAGTTGACTCAACTCAAAATAATAAGGCAATTTGCTGCATAACTTTGAGTTGACTCAACTTTCAAACCAAGTTGTTGACTCAACTCAAAATTTTTCATTAAGATTTAAAGCTTCTATTGCTAGTTTGTTTGCTATTTCATTTCCTCAAATTCCCATATGAGATGTTAGCTAATAGAATTGCAGATCTGTAGTTTTGGTTTAGTAATACTGTATACACTCACCGGCCACTTTTTTAGGTACACCTTACTAGTAATGGGTTGGACCCCCCTTTTGCCTTCAAAACTGCCTTAATCCTTCGTGGCATAGATTCAACAAGTAACTGAAAATATTCTTTAGAGATTTTGATCCAGGTTGACATGATAGCATCTAACAGTTGCTGCAGATTTGTCGCTGCACATCCATGACACACGACCATGACCATGACCACGTCCCAAAGGTGCTCTAATAGATTGAATAAATTCGTATTCTTTATTCCTTATAGGATAATGGTGCTCTAATAGATTGAGGTCTTATGACTGTGGAGGCCATTTAAGTACAGTGATTTCATTGTCATGTTCAAGAAACTAGTCTGATATGATTTACACTTTATGACATGACGCGTTATTCTGCTGGAAGTAGCCATCAGAAGATGGGTACACTGTGGTCATAAAGAGATGGACATGGTTAGCAATAATACTCAGGTAGGCTGTCGTGTTGACACAATGCTCAATTTAATAATGGATCCATGCTTTCATGTTGTTGATGCCAAATTCTGACCCTACCATTTGAATGCCACAGCAGAAATCCATGCAACATTTTTCCAATCTTTTATTGAGCAATTTTGGTCAGCCTGTGCAAATTGTAGCCTCAGTTTCCTGTTGTTGACTGAAAGGAGTGGCACCCGGTGTGGTCCTCTGCTGCTGTAGCCCATCCGCCTCATAGTTGGATGTGTTGTGCGCTCCTCGGTTGTAACGAGTGGTTATTTGAGTTACTGTTGCCTTTATATCAGCTAGAGGCCAGTCTGGCCATTGTCTTCTAACCTCAGGCATCAACAAGGCATTTGCGCCCACACAACTGCCAATCACTGGATATTTTCTCTTTTTCGAACCATTCTCTGTAAAGCATAGAGATGGTTGTGAGTGAAAATCCCCATAGTTGAGCAGTTTATGAAATACTCAGACCAGCCCGTCGGGCACCAACAACCATGCTATGTTCAAAGTCACTTAAATCACCTTTCTTCCCCATTCTGATGCTCGGTTTGAACTGCAGCAGATTGTCTTGACCATGTCTACACGCCTAAGTGCATTGCGTTGCTGCCATGTGATTGGCTGAGAAATTTTCATTAAAGAGCAGTTGGACAGGTGAACCTAATAAAGTGGCCAGTGAGTGTATATCTCCAATAAAATGCCATATCTGTTATTTTTACACACATCACACATGCGCTAACTTCATTTTCAACTTCTATTAATGTCAACTTGCATTTTTTTAAGTCTGTTCAACAATCCTACCTTAGTTGACCCAACAATTGTTCAAACAACTTATTTATTCTAGTCCATATGGCTTTGTCATGTTTTTTTTTTTTCGTCCAGCTACTATAACTAACAAATACTCATTTAGCCAACATTTAGCAAGTGCAATCACTCATTCATTTGTCATTTTTCTTTTACACTTCTTTCTCTACTTGAAGCTCTTGTTATGAATGATATATTAAATAATTGTTTGACTATGAAAATAACACTGTGATAAAAAAATATTTGACGTATTATCAGAAAAGTGGCTAATTCATACAAATTCATTTGGTTCCATTTACATGAAAACATGCTATTTGTAAAAGGAACTGTTCCCCCTAGAACCCTTGAGAGATGAGCCAATCATAGAAAAATATATGAATGAGATTGTACAATTTTTTACAAATTAGCCATTAAATCAAAAATTCTATGTACTGCTATGATAAATGCAGTCTGTTTAACACCGATAATAATTAAGCCCAATCCTGAGGATGATAAATGAATGTGTAAAAAAACACAACTTTTTTATGTCTACAGAGATAAAGAAAAATATATGGTATAACAGTATTTCAAAAATAAAATGTACACTTCCTAAAAGCACAAGAACTGTTTCATACAAGAAAATGACTGAGGTCTTATGTTCATATACTTTCAAACCTCTGACCTTTATAATAGAAAGCAAAATTAGACATTAGGATCTGCATTTATGCATAAGGATGCTGCTCCAAACTTCCGGTTCACAGCTTGATGTGTTAAAAGAATATCACATTTGCAAAGCTTTGAAATAGTACAATTTCTGCTATGAAACTTTATGCGTGCACAGTCTGATAGATCACCTAATCTACTCCTCTATCTCTAACTATTTGGCGGAGGAGATCGGTTGCTGTCGCCTCAGCAGCCAATGAGCTTGCTTCTTAGCATTTTAAATGCTGTGTCGTTCTACGCTGCTATGCTGCAGTGTGTTTAAATCTGCTATGCGCCTTATATATACAGTTGAAGTCAGAATTATCAGCCCCCTGTTTATTTTTTTCCCAACTTCTGTTTAACAAAGAGAAGTTTTTAACCCATTTCTAAACATAATAGTTTCAATAACTCATTTCTAATAACTGATTTATTTGTTCTATCATGATGACAGTAAACAATATTTGAATAGATATTTTTTCAAGACACTTCTATTCAGCCTTAAGTGACATTTAAGGCTTAACCAGGTTAATTAAGTTAACTTGGCAGGTTAGGGTAATTAGGCAAGTTATTGTATAACGATGGTTTGTTCTGGAGACTATCAAAACATATATAGCTTAAAGGGGCCTATAATTATGACCTTAAAATGGTTCATAAAAAAATTCAATTGATTTTATTCTAGCTGAAATAAAATAAAGACTTTCTCCAGAAGAAAAAATATTATCAGACATACTGTGAAAATTTCCTTGCTCTGTTAAACATCATTTAAAAAAAAAAGAAAAAATAATCCAAAGGGATCTAATAATTCTGACTTCAACTGTATATTATGTTTGCAGCAGCAATATGTTATATTCTCAGATGGGATGTCTGTGAATATACATACAGTAGCAGGTCATACTCTGCCATAATGATCAAAGCTGCAGGAGAAGCAGCAGCAGCATAGCAGATCTATTCTGCCAAGACCTAAGGCATCAACATTGGCATATACATACTCAATCCCGAGAGTGGTCGTGACAGAAATAGTTTATCTAATTTTTTTTTGCTAAGGTCTGTTAACTAATATTGCTGTTGACCAATCCCACCTACTGGATTGATTATGTGAAACATGCAAGGAATTAGGAGAATGTTTCTCTCGCACTTGAAGTACATCTGACAGAAATGTCAACGGCTCTAACACACCGTTCAAAATCAAAGTTATGCATCACACAAACTAGGGTTGGGCGAAGTCGACCATCGTCGTCATGGGCGGAGGTGAATTAATTATTTAAGAATAATTAATTAATTTATATGGATTTAATTATTTGTAGCCTACCCTTTAAACTACCTGACCCGCATGGTCTTTGTTTTACCCATAAACAAATCATAAATAAATAAAGATAAGTTGCACACAAATTACCAACTGTTAATCACTTTTTTCCGCTGGAGGTTGGTCGGTAAAAAAGGTGCACAACCAACAGTTTCTGAGGTTTTCACTAAAATTAACAAGTACAATTGTGAAAGTGAAAGACTGAAGCGGTGTACTGACGCTGAAACGGTATCTGATAGATTCAAAAGAGTGAAGAGTCGTTAGATAGAGACAAAATGAATTAAATATCATGTATAACAACTATAGTATCCAGCGGTACACCCTTGATAAACTGTGCACTGCTCTCTGGAGCTCAGGCGAGTGCATGACAGTGTGTGTGGCTGTCCCTGTGTGTGTGTGCGTGGTCACGTGATGTGCATTTTTAGCGGATCGAGGGTTGTTCAGAAATGCTTGGTGAAAAACGATGTGGATGTGGATTATTTTCAATTTAAAATGGCATTTTAAAACTAAGGCGAAATAGTGTAAACGGGGCTCAATTGTGTATTTTTCGCGAGCGGTTTTGCGACAAGGGCGCTTCGGAGGATCGGCGATGCCGGCTCAGCATCGTGTTGTCTTGGCCAAAGGCAATGGATAATGGCATTGTCTATCAGCCCAACCCTAACACAAACACATCAAAACCTACTCAAAATTGTGGATATTGGGCCCGCCTGTTAAAAAAAAACACTGTTCTAGCTGATGACAGTTACTAAATATCGGTTCGAAGCAGCCTACAGGAAGGCCCTCATAGCGACACATCATAATTGTATAATTTCTTCAGCTGGTTCCTTTCCTCCATTCACTAACACATATGTTTACTCTTTTCTTTCCCACACAGAGCCAAATGTGGTGAGCAATCTCACGGCGTCTAAAGTCACCACATCATCTGTGACTCTGCATTGGAACGCACCAAGTGGACCAATAGATTATTATTTAGTTGAGTGGAGTGTACAGAGAAGCACAGACAGAAGAACTAATGAGACTTTCTATGTAATCACTGATCTCATGCCTGCAACCAAATATGAAATTCATGTCAGTGCTGTTACTGGAGGCATAAAAAGCGAACTTGTCTTCTTGACTGTACTTACCGGTATGTACGATCACAAAATCTGTCCTCTTATTAATCATCCACACAGACAGTACACAATAACACTATGTATTTTCCTGAATTTATCTGATATCAATAATATAATCAGTAATTGCACAAACACATTACATAGGGAACTTCTATCTAACCCAGAAAAATGAACAGAAAATTATAATTCCATTAAAAAAATAACATTTGCTGTTCATTCAAACTACTTATTTAAAATGAGCTGAAACAACACAATTTTTGAGTTTTGTTAGGGGGACAACCTAATTATTTTACATTCAAGGAACTTAAATGTGTAGGGTAAACCTGGTTAAACTTGATTCCTTTATGTTGTCCCAACACAAAATCCCAGCATTTTTTTACTGGGTGTATTTTATACCAGTGTATAATATGTAATGGAATAATATGGAATCATATAAAATGGAATTAGTGGTGACTGAATTACTTTATATTAACATATTCAATACTTTTGCCATATTCAGATGTAGAAGCAGGGCCCACCAGCACTAACAACACTGGGATGATTGTTGGCATAGTTCTGACCCTGATCTGTCTCATCGCCGCCATCATTTTATTTGTCTTTTTCTATTCAAGAAGGTGAGTTTTCTGTATCATCAGAGAAGTGATAATTGAATAAATCTATTGAAAGGTATCAAATACTGTTTGCTTTTATACATAGTTTCAGTTTGTCATAGAGCTATGAAAATAAATAAATAAATAAATAAATATATATATATATATATATATATATATATATATATATATATATTTTTTTTTTTTAAATAATAAAAACCAAAACGTCTTCAACCAAACCTCTGTATGTCTGTCTTACCGATTACTTTTTGATATTTATCTTACATTGCATTAGAGTATGATTAAATACTTTTTAATCCTTTATATTTTATTAAGCAGTTGTCCTTTGAAATACTTAAGTTCAATTTTAAATCACTTCAAATTTTTGTTAAATATATTTAATATATTTTTTAGTATGTCGAGGATAATACATTTCATACCACTGACTGTAAATACAGAATAATACAAATGTATTTTATTATTACCTTTATAACTCTGTTTCAGACAATCCAAAAAACAATATCCCGACATCCCTGTTCACATGATTCGGTAACTATGTTTGATATGTTTATATTTGAATTTGTAGTTGATAAACTAGAAATTGTGTTAATGTTAATCATTAACACTTATTTTTTTTCCATTTGCAGTGATCAAACGTGAGTAAATTTGATTATGAATCCACATATATATAATAAATATTATAATATTTTCTATGTAATTGTTTTATTCTTCACGCTTTATTTTATGATATACAGCAAGAATGCTTTGAAAGTAGAAGATTATGAAGAGTATTTTAAACGGAACAGTGCTGATTCCAACTGTGGATTTGCTGAGGAGTATGAGGTATTTTTAACGTCATTTTAATATAATCAATATTTTCTGTAGTAATATTATTAATTAAGCATATGGCTAACTACATAGTTTAATTTATACATTCGGACAGTGTTTTCAAAGTCATGACTAAAGTGCTGTGCTGTTGCAGGAGTTAAAATCTGTTGGAACACAACAGTCAAAGGCTGCTGCCCTGGCTATTGAAAACAAGGCAAAGAACCGCTACTCCAATGTTTTACCTTGTGAGTATCCTGACTATTGCATATTGTACTAAAAAGTGCTAATATCTTTTAAGAATCACAAGCCTCACTCTGATTGGCTGGATGCTTTGAAACTTTGTAAATCTATGAATTGAATGAAGACACTATCAACAAGTCTATCTTTTTCTTTTTTTTTTTTGAAAATGATAAAAATTTGATTTTGGTGGTAATAGTTGCTTCTGGTATGTGTGACAAACCATGAACTGGCCACAAGGTCTTGGGCACCCAAGGTTTAAAGGCTATACTATTTGTATTTTAATTATTGTAATGGAAGAAATCCATCACAGATCATGTATGTCAGGAGTTTTCAAACATTTTAACTCACCACCCCCAAAAAATATCAATGCCAGTGTCTCATGACCCCACAACATCATCGAAGGTGGTTATATATATGCACACTCACCAACAATAGGCCTATATTAATGTAAGCATATTGACAATACAAAAACGGCAACTGTTTAACAAGCAAATATTTTATACTAATTTATTAATTTACCTCACCTAATTAGATAGATGGGCACAATGTTTGGTGCACAGCAAGTCTATTCTTGATTTAATTTTCGGGATCATTACCAAAATCAAGTTTGACATGGTGCCATAAAATTGATTTGCTGCAACTGATGGGCTTGCAATGCAGATAACCTAATGCACATGTGTCAAACTCAGTTCCTGGAGAGCCACAGCTCTGCGCAGTTTAGTTCCAACCCTAATTAAACACACATAATCAAGCTAATTTGAGTCCTTCAGGCTTGTTTGAAACCTAGAGGGAAATGTGTTGGAGCAGGGTTGGAACTAAACTGTGCAGGGCTGCGGCCCTCCAGGAAGAGAGTTTGACACCCCTGATCTAAAGTAATCACCCTATGGGGTCTCAATATAATGGAAAAATCCAAAAGGCTTTAGGATTGGATTTTTATTTGCCTGCTTTGGTTGTTTTTGTTGTAAATATTAACTACTATAGATTTTTGTTCTTTTAATTATGAACAAAATGATTCCTATAGTTTAATAAAATGTGTTTGATTTTTGTAAATCAGAAAGCGAACCCTCCACATCTCTACTTTGGAGGTCTACTAATCCTAACCATACTTTACCATGGGTATACTTAAACTTAACCAGCAGCTAGCTCTCTGCAACTCTCACATGTTCACCCCCTGAAGCTAAGCAGTGTAGTGCCCAATCAGAACATGGATGGGAGACCACATGGGGAAGCTAGGTGGTGTTAGTGAGGCCAGCAGAGGGCACTCAACCTGCGGTCTGTGTGGGTCCTTACGCCCCAGTATAGTTAAGGGGACTGAGGTACTGACTTGTTAAAAAAATCCCAGGATGTCCTTCAAAAAAAAGTAGGGGTTTAACCCCAACATCCTGGCCAAATTTGCACCCAAGTTTCAAGGGCTATACTATTTGTATTTTAATTATTGTACTGGAAGAAATGGCATCATGTATGTCAGGGGTGTTCAAACATCAGGGTTTTCCTACAAATTAGCTAGTGTGTGGTGTGCGGACTGGCGCAATATGGCAGCCGTTTCGTCATCCAGGTGGATGCTACACACTGGTGGTGAATGAGGAGATTCCCCCCAATGTGTAAAATGCTTTGAGTGTCTAGAAAAGCGCTATATAAAAGGAATTATTATTATTATTATTAATTAACCATGGGTTATCATCATTTTAAACACTGCTTTTAATTCAAAATAAAGGCATGTTTCACACCTGTAATTTGGAATATGTTAGCACCGCATTTTACCCATGGTTATGAAACCCCTTTCAGTCCAGAGTTTGTGTGTGTGAAACGCAGCTGTGTTTGCTTGTTGTACTGAATGCTTAGCAACAGAGACAGCCAATCAGAAATTGAGCAGCGAGGTTTACATCACATAATGATACTCATTAAGTTGTGTAAACAGTAGCCAGTGAGAGGTAACATTAAATAAAAACTTTAAAAGTAAGAAATGTCAAAAGACAGTTTTCTGCTCTTTGTCCATTCTGTGACAATGACGATGTAAATGTGCAGATAAGCATGTTAAATCAGGTTTTAGGGATGTACAATGTGAAACATCTGTTAATGACCACCCAGGATTATTTATTAACCCCAGGTATAGTATGAGCAGTGTGAGAGTGATTACAGATAGCCACATAATCTATCTGTCAAGGAATTAGGATATCCCAAGTTTAACAATTTCTAGTTTGAAAACCACTATTGTTGCAAACAAAGTTCTGGTTCATCACAATGGTGTTTCTTGGTGGAAATGATCTTACATGTTCTACAGGATTAGTTTGAAGTATGTGTTGAAGAGTTTATAGTGTTGCCCTGACTTCTAGATTCACTAGATTTCAATCTATTTGGGTATCTATCGGATGTTGTAAATATCCGCATATAAGGCAGGTGATCATAATGATTTGACTCATCATTGGCTCATCATATGAGTACAGAGATTATCTGTCAAATTAATATCCAAAGAACAATATATGAGATACAAAAATAGATTTTAAAAATATGTTTGGGCTTGTTACTAATCCATAACCACTGTTTTCTACTAATCGCATGATACTCGTGTAGGGTCCAGCGAGTTGGTCCAATGACGGTATCCAATGGTGGATGAAGGTTCACTGCATGTTCGGTCTTTCCAGTGCACAATGTTGATTTATATTAAACTTAACTCATATCTGACTCCAATTTTAGTATGAGATGGTTTAGAATATTAATATGTTTATCCTCGTTTTATCTGACTCCAATTATAAAACATTGATAAGATTATTTTGTTTCCTTTCACATTATTTTAGATTATGATTGAATATTCTCTTCGGTTCATCATTTTATGTTATTCTCGTTCATTGGGATCTCTATAACATCCTGAATCTTGTACCGGCCGAGTATACAATTTCTTAAGCACAAGCATGTCAGTCTTGGTCACTAAACAGGGGCGATTGACCGCTATCCTAAAAAGGCAGAACCCTACTTACTCAGATTAGGATATTTTTTATGCGGTCCCCATAGGTCTGCTACCTCCTAAATCAGACAGAGCTATTTAGTCATATAACGATCATTACTATAGAATTAAGCAGACCAGTCGTACTTAAACTAGTAGTAACTTTGAATAATCACTATACTATCTAAATAGTATTAAAAGTTTATCGGGTGAAGGACTATCCCCTTAGATATCCTTTTACAGCCTAAGTATACATGAATAAATGCCAATTTGTTAGTCGGAGCTCTAGAGACATCGTGTAACGTGCCGCAATGCTCCGTCTACCGTGTTCTAGTCCGCTACTAACCTGAACAGGGGCTTGTGGTGCTATGAAATTACCACAATCTACTAAAGATAATAACACGAACTCTGTTTGAATCATTCAAAACATAACAATTTATTAGTCAGGTAAATGTATTATGCCAATTCAATCAGTCAATTCATAAATGATCAATACAAAACATCAAATTATCAAAGATAAATCCAAGATGAAAAAGATGCATTCCTGACTTTGAAATATACATAACATGGGGCAGACCCCATGTTATGGGCTGATCTGGTTAGGCAGAATCGCCCTGAGTCCTTCTTAGGCCTTACCTTAAATAATCCAAGAATTCCCTCAAGGAAGGGGGTGTGAATGTATAACAAAAGGCATTCACACTTAGTGTCACACCCCTCACAGTGGATCAAAAGATGCCTGAAGTTATATATTTATTGTTCTGATTATGTCTATTTCTGAGAGAATGAGACCATTGTACCAATCGCACTGAGACATTTCAAATGATATCAAACATGATAGTTAAAGTCAGTTTGGTTAATTCTAGAACATTCAAACATTGAAATGACCATATGTGTGAGTTGGGGGGATGAAGCAGACTCAGATGCAAATGCAGCAGGAACTGGTTTTTCCCGCATTCCCCTTGCTGAGTTGTGAAGTTACCAGTCTCTGTTTTCAGCTCATGTTTTGAATTGTCAAAGACATCAGAATATTTGCAATATTTCAATTCTTACAGATAACCCCCATTTGATCCCGTGGGTCAGATATAAATGTGTCCATGGGGTCACTATGTATCCTTGTTGAGGTCGTTCAGGGGCAATTCAAGACAGTCTCTGCAGCATTATCAGTTGTAAGTCGTGTTCAGCAGGTAGCTAAACAGGTCCAGGCTCGTTTTCACCTCTTTTGATGAGCCTGACCCGAATGCACTGCTCATTCAGTCCATACAGGCCTTCATAGCTTCCACTGTGTCCTTCCCCTGACAAAAGTGTCCACGTCGTGTGGGCTTCTCATAGTCTGCTTCTTCTGATGAATCTGGTTATCTCCAGATATGCAGACATCGGCATGTGGGGGTCTACAGTGTGTATACACTGCCTTCTCTCGGACACCTAAACAGCAACTTGATGGCTCAGCGATTGAACAGTTATGAACTTGTGTCATTCTGCATTGGAGAAAGTCATGAGGTTAAGCATAAAATATATGATCAAAACATAAAAGTCAGCAAGTGCGAGTCGTACAACTGGTCTCAGGTCTCTTTCAATCTGTTTAAATGGTCCAATCAAAAACAGATAAGTCTTTGTCACCACTGAGATAGGGTATAATGATAGGGAGAATATTAAATATTCTTGGTTTGAATTACTCAAGGTAAAGCTATCAAAAGGTCAGTGCAACTTATTAAAACAGTATAACAGGCAGTATGCATCATAAAACATATCATCATGACAATACATTCAAATAAATGACATTCATTTTCAAAATGAAAAAAACGTGAAGATATTTGTCATACATGATAGTAATCACATTATTTAACCATAATTATGAAGGTATATCTATAATAATGTGTGTGTTTGTGTGTGTATGTTGTGTGGTGTGTGTGTGTGTGTGTGTGTGTGTGTGTGTGTGTGTGTGTGTGTGTGTGTGTGTGTGTGTGTGTGTGTGTGTGTGTGTGTGTGTGTGTGTGTGTGTGTGTGTTTATGTGCGTGTGGGGGGGCTTGAACACAATTGATGGTATTTGTCAAATTTAAATGTCCTAGTGATTATTAGAAGTGTCCTCACTTCGGTTTAATTTTAATCACTTTAGCACTTATACCTGTTATTGGTGATAGATTGGAAAACCAGGGGCCCTCTGGTTTGTCAACCATCCTCATAACAGTCAGTGTATCTATCCTTAAATTTATCGGCAAATTCGCCTTTATTGAAGTTTTATACCATCAATTTGTTGTAAAAGCCATGCAAATGTGTAATTTCTTTTCAGCTGACAGAGGGTGTCAGAGGGTGTTTGTTGTCTCGTCTGTCATCAGATTAATTATTCTGTTCTATGTGTGTGAGGCTAATGTGTTTTGTTTGTATAAACATGGACAAACGATCTCAATTAAGGAGATTTGGCTCCTGGGTCTTTGAAGACTAAGGTGTTATCTATGTGCCTGGGTTTACCTGTGGCTGTGTGTCAGTGTAATGCTCCGAACAATGGTAATCAACTTTTATAATTGTGTTGCAAAATTTTAGTCCTGTCTTAGCAGGGAGCCAGCATAAGAATGTGAACATGAGGTGTGTTCCGGCTCAAATTGATTCCATATAATATCTTTTACGGAGCATGTTAAGGTGCAATGTTCAAAGCTGGATCTGCAGGTGAGGTGTTAGCACCACAGGGGTTCTTGCTTTGAGATGCAAGATGGAAGACTTTTGGCCTCTCAGGTTATGGCTTAACCTTTTGTTGCCCTCATTTGTATTTGTTTGATGTGGACCGGATCTGGAGTGTTCTTTGTTATTGGTCCGCCTAAGATGAGAACAAAAGCAGAGAGAACCATTTTTAGAATTTTCATCAGTTTCAAATTCAATCATGTGGAATTAATGTTAATGCATCATCTTGCAATATTAATTCTGGAAGCCACATGATGTTGCTGGTCAGATGTGAATTGCTGTTGTTGATTTCAGCATATTGTGAGTGTGTAACACCTGTTTATACAGTCTGCTGTATTCTGAGCATTATCTCCCAGTTCCGCTGGGGACATTTTTCTGAATCAATCAATGATTTTTCATTAATTTCAGTTCACAATCTAATGGGCCAATACCCATAGTTAATTTTTTGCTCTCATTAACAGTCAGATTTGTTGGCAGAAATCATTTCACCCTTTTGGTGTTCTCTGCTTAACGGTTGTCATTTTATGGTGTGACTCACAGATTCTTAGATCTTTTGACCCATAAAAACTTTGGTAACTCTGAATGTTATCATATCCATCCCCCTTTCATTATTTTTCTGGTGAGTTTAACTCTCTGATCAAATTTTAATTGTAGGTGGTGTTTTTCAGCGAGGATTTTATTGGTTTACAATCAGTTATGCTATAGTAGTTCTGTCAGTGTTTTCATTAAGCATAAAGAAAGCAAACCTCCTCAAGATGAAAGATGTTTCATCTTTAGTCTTTAGTGCCATGATTGGCGATTATAATATAATGTTCATTATTGTTTATTCCTAATGTAATTATATTATATTAAAATAGTAAATATTAAAATTTAATTATATCTGGTCTCTGGAGAGTGTTTTTAGAACAACAGTGCATTTTAGCTTAATGCTTTTATCTTGTGATCAGGGCTGTGTTTGCTTGTAAGTTGCATGGAGAACAAAAGGGTCAGCAAAGGCTTATGGCCAAATGGAAGAATGTAATTGTTTTATGCAAATACAGCAAACACATTCTGAGCATCTTATTATCACTGAGGTGAGATTTCTCTGCTCTCTGTCAGGACATTTGAATATGAAAAGGTTTGAGCAATTAGGAGGTCTAAGGGCTGATTTAAAGTTAAAATCTTAGAATTTCTTTTATATTTAGTCTGTTTTGAGATTAAATTAAAGTATAGTGGATATTTTACACTGTAAACCCTAATGCTGTAACTAAATAATTGAATTGAGCTCTATTAACTTAAATCCTTAAAATTCGTTTATCTTAATTAACCTTAATGAGTATTCAGAACTTTTTCTTATTTTTGAGTTTGAAAAAATGTAATCTTTAAAAAATGCTATCAAAATGTATGAGCTGGGTGACTAAGTATTTAAAGTTTGGAAAAATTAAAATAATTAAGTTAATTGCAATTAAAATGTATAAGTTGAGTAACTTGGGTATTTTAAGTTAGTTGAAGTGTCTTGCATGAGTATAACAAACTCAAAACTTAATGTTTCTGTTCACTTAAAATAGATAATTTCATAACTTAAAAAATTTGACATAACTGATTGCCTCAAATTTTTTTTGAGTTTTGTCAACTTATTCGGGATTACAGTGTAGTTGATCAGCATCATATTTGAATTTATCACCATTAAATTTAAATGGCAAATTTCTGATTTGTAAAGGCAGAGTTTTCATTAAAGCCTATTTGTCTTTTTTGCAATCAAATCATTCTGTTCTGCTCACCTTTATTTTTCACATGCAAATGCCTTTAAACAGACTGTTGTTATTAATCCAATTTAAAAGTTTACAATTGTTTTTAAATCTTAAACCATTTTTTCCTGTTTTCCTTTTTTTCAATTTTTCTCTTTTTTATAAAACAGTAGATTTAAAACAATGGATAGTTTTTGATTTAAACTTTTAGGATCTAATTTATAACTCTCCACTGAGTTCCAGAATATAATTTGGATGATGTTATTCCAATTTTAAGCTTCAACTCTTGCTGCCTAGCAGACAAAGAGATTTCAGAGCAAGGGATGGCATTTATCTATACTGCTGCTATCAGGTCCCTGATAATCAAAGTGGTTTTGTCTAATTCTCAACCCCACCGGATAACGCATTCCGGTCTAACATTTTTGAGCATTTCCGACTCATTCTATCAATGTGTTTATATAGGGTGCATCCAGCTTTCCCTCAACATTTCTAATAGGCAAAGAAGAATTGACTTACCACAGCAGCTGAAGATAGAATAGAAGATCCAAACCTCTTGGTTGATATAAATCCATTTTGTGCTGGAAAGACGTAACTCGCCTGAGTTGGGAGATCACGGAGATGGGTCACCATTTTGTAGGGTCCAGCGAGTTGGTCCAATGACGGTATCCAATGGTGGATGAAGGTTCACTGCATGTTCGGTCTTTCCAGTGCACAATGTTGATTTATATTAAACTTAACTCATATCTGACTCCAATTTTAGTATGAGATGGTTTAGAATATTAATATGTTTATCCTCGTTTTATCTGACTCCAATTATAAAACATTGATAAGATTATTTTGTTTCCTTTCACATTATTTTAGATTATGATTGAATATTCTCTTCGGTTCATCATTTTATGTTATTCTCGTTCATTGGGATCTCTATAACATCCTGAATCTTGTACCGGCCGAGTATACAATTTCTTAAGCACAAGCATGTCAGTCTTGGTCACTAAACAGGGGCGATTGACCGCTATCCTAAAAAGGCAGAACCCTACTTACTCAGATTAGGATATTTTTTATGCGGTCCCCATAGGTCTGCTACCTCCTAAATCAGACAGAGCTATTTAGTCATATAACGATCATTACTATAGAATTAAGCAGACCAGTCGTACTTAAACTAGTAGTAACTTTGAATAATCACTATACTATCTAAATAGTATTAAAAGTTTATCGGGTGAAGGACTATCCCCTTAGATATCCTTTTACAGCCTAAGTATACATGAATAAATGCCAATTTGTTAGTCGGAGCTCTAGAGACATCGTGTAACGTGCCGCAATGCTCCGTCTACCGTGTTCTAGTCCGCTACTAACCTGAACAGGGGCTTGTGGTGCTATGAAATTACCACAATCTACTAAAGATAATAACACGAACTCTGTTTGAATCATTCAAAACATAACAATTTATTAGTCAGGTAAATGTATTATGCCAATTCAATCAGTCAATTCATAAATGATCAATACAAAACATCAAATTATCAAAGATAAATCCAAGATGAAAAAGATGCATTCCTGACTTTGAAATATACATAACATGGGGCAGACCCCATGTTATGGGCTGATCTGGTTAGGCAGAATCGCCCTGAGTCCTTCTTAGGCCTTACCTTAAATAATCCAAGAATTCCCTCAAGGAAGGGGGTGTGAATGTATAACAAAAGGCATTCACACTTAGTGTCACACCCCTCACAGTGGATCAAAAGATGCCTGAAGTTATATATTTATTGTTCTGATTATGTCTATTTCTGAGAGAATGAGACCATTGTACCAATCGCACTGAGACATTTCAAATGATATCAAACATGATAGTTAAAGTCAGTTTGGTTAATTCTAGAACATTCAAACATTGAAATGACCATATGTGTGAGTTGGGGGGATGAAGCAGACTCAGATGCAAATGCAGCAGGAACTGGTTTTTCCCGCATTCCCCTTGCTGAGTTGTGAAGTTACCAGTCTCTGTTTTCAGCTCATGTTTTGAATTGTCAAAGACATCAGAATATTTGCAATATTTCAATTCTTACACTCGTTTTCTTAAGATGATGCTTCAAGAGTTAAACTATCAATGTGCGGCAGCCCCTTTGATGACTACATTAATGCCAACCATGTCCCTGTGAGTATATATACACAAAAGGGAAATTTCAGGATGGCACAAGACTTTTATGTATTGTATCAATCATTGTCCTTAATGCTTTTTTTTTTTTTTTTTTTTGTGGTCAGGGCTACAATTCAAGAAAAGAGTTCATAGCTGCTCAGGGTCCATTGCCCGTCACGCTGAATGAATTCTGGAGAATGATCTGGGAGAAGAATGTCTACACTATAGTGATGCTGACCAAATGCAACGAGATGGGACGGGTGAGCTAAAATTGTAACTGGTCAAATTTTAAGAGGTCAAATGTCAAAACAGAGTAATGCTAATAAGCAATATGTGCCATTTTCAATAGGTTAAATGTGAAAAGTACTGGCCATCTGCGACTAGTCATTATAATAACATCTCTGTGACAACCACCTCAGAGATAGAACTGGATGACTGGACCATTAGAGACTTCAGAATTAAAAATGTAAAGCAACACTTCCTGATATTCGTCCTAATGTTGTTGTATTTAAATCAATAGCATTTGTTAAAAATATTCCTTATAATGCTATAGGTGAAAACAGCAGAAACTCGCTATGTACGCCAGTTCCACTTCACAGCGTGGCCAGATCATGGAGTTCCGGAAACCACTGAGATTCTTATCGATTTTAGACACCTGGTGAGAGAACATATGGACCAGTACTCACGCCACTCTCCGACTGTGGTGCATTGCAGGTGACTGTGGTCTTTATAATCAAATATCCATATATTTATAATACAGTGCACACATCATATATTAAATTGACCTCTTTATTAGACTCATCAAGTTATTTGACTTTTCTTTTTCAGTGCTGGTGTGGGAAGAACAGGGACCTTCATTGCCATTGACCACCTGAGCTTCCAGATTGAAAGAGACAGCATGGTGGACATCTACGGAATTGTTCATGATATGCGCATGCACAGGGCTCTCATGGTGCAGACTGAGGTATGGGACTTACAGCAACATATATAACCTCATTTGAAGCTCAAGCATCCTCCATTGCTTCTGTAACCATGATACAGACCTGAAGGGTGCACACACTTCATGTCTCGATGTTCTCACACCTAAGAGTATTTCTTCGATAAGCATCTAAAAGCCGCTCATGGCATTGCAGTCCTTCCCTTTGGGGTATCTCCGTCCACATGGGTTTTATGAACTTGTGGGGGGTGCCCTGGTGCCACTTAGACTCATAGGCATCGGCATGATTAAGAATAATTTTAGCTCAGTTTACAGATCAGTTGATTATACACAGAGACACCTTGACCTGTTGGGATTTCGGGTCTACAGAGAAAGGAGCATACTCTCTCCCGAGCAGAGCATCTCTTATCTTGGTATGAAGGTGGACTCAATCTCCATGACAGTGTACCTTACCAAGGACCACGCTGGGCAATGCCGGCCTGTCTGAAGCTATTTGAAAGGAAAACAGGGATTGCACCAAGTTTTTTCAGAGGCTCCTGGTGAATATGACATCCGTAGTCATGTTCACTGCTCAGATTGTTCCATATGAGATCACTTCAGAGATGGCTTCATGATTGGATACCCAGATGGGCATGGTGAATGAGGACACACCGGGTGACCATGACCAGGCTGTGTCACCACACCTTCTGTCCCTGTAGGGGCTGGAGGGCTATGTGCAATGAGCATGCAGTTGCAGGTTCTAATAGCGAACATAGGCTGCATTGGTATATTAACTGAATGAAGCTGTGGCAAGATTTCTAACTCTCCACCAAAACCAGTTGGTACTGGTGTGGGAGCACATGCTGTTCTGAACCAAGCATATATAACCAAAAGCATAAATCAACCGTATGGGCGGTAAACGTTTCCAACAAGCTTGAGAAGAGCTTGGTGTGGTATTTTGGTATTTGGTACAGCAAGGTATTTTGGAGGAGCCCTGGTCGTCTTGTTGACTCACAGCTGACCCTAGGACTTGAGGTAATATCCATTTTCCCCAGTCAGCCTGCTTGCACAGATTTTGTGCGAGGTCAGGGAGGATGAGAACAAGGTTTTCTGTTATGCCACTCCGGCCCAAACAGACGAGGGTTTCCAAGCTCACAGTCCTCAAGATGGCACTCCCTGGCACATTCCCCTGAGTATAAGGGTTGCTCCTAGCACCTGTGGAACTTTACATGTGGCCCATATACTGTTGCAGAAGACTTAGGTGACTTACCGCCAACATTGGTTGACAAAGTTAATCAGGCTAGAGCCCCTTTAATTAGGTGTACCTACACCCTAGAGAGAAGTCTATTCATTGAACGGTTCACTTCATGTTAGAAGACCCCCGAACATACCAGATCATCCTTGTGCTTTTCTTCCGTCAGGAAAAGCTGAATTAGAGGTTGTCACACCCTTCACACTAAAGGTCTATCAAGAGGGCCTGAAATTCAGAACAGGTTACTCTCACGTTATCCTGGTACCCTGGCTCGGCTATGAGGTTCCTACCACCCTCTTAAAAGACCAAGTAGTGAACCTGTAAATGCTGCCTGTGGAGGAGGCTGTGTTCTGTTCATGCTATGCATCCTTATATGGTTTTATGGTGGTTGGTAGAAGGTAGGCAAACAGAGGTTGGCTCACAGCTCACAGGTTAGTAAATGCCATCTCCTCGCATTCTCATGTCATGGCGAGCCATGTCCCCTGTGAGTGAGAGAGTATTTAACAAGGAGTGTTGCCCTCCTGGTTGTTAGCATGACACGCCTCTCTAGCAGACATCTGTAGAGTTGTGGGCTGGGCAACACCTACACTTTCATGAGATTTTAAAACCTTCTGGTGAAGCCGGTTTCCTCTCAATTTTTGGGTAATGCCAGCTTAGAGAAAGCAAGGTTCAGTGTTGAAAATGCTTGCTGCATCATTTTCTTTACCTTCCTTCGAGGCCCCCAACATCTCAGCGCAGGAGCCGAATACTTGTCCATTACATTGTCTAGTTGTCTAGTAGTTTTTTGGGGATTGGTGCCGTCTATGAGCATCCCTACTCGGTCAGCCACAGTGGAGTTCCCCTTACAGGCTTGACCGGTGTCGTGCCCATAAACTAACACTCTTGCTCATATGTAGGTTAGGGCTAACCCATATTTGCATATTGTCACACTGTCTCCCCACTGGGGTAGAAAATTGCCTTCACAGCACCCTCCCACTTCAGGACTGGGCTGATATCTCATTGTACTGCCATTATAAAAAATCCCTTGCCTACAGTAGCTATCGGTTACCAGCTGAATGCTAGTGTGATTGGCTCCTCAGTGGGTAATGCCATGGTCACACTGCATTTTTCACCCCATAAACTTCCAATCATACAAATGCAAGTGCGACAGCCTGGAAACGCAAGCTTGGGTGACAAGTTTCGCAGTTTGTTTCATTGGAGAGTTCAAGCTTGGTGAACTAAACTGCATAACATGGCTGCATGAGACCAATCGAAGATCAAAACATGACCTCTCTTTACAAAAATTTAAAACATGGACCAATGGCTTACTTTTTTAATATCTAACCATCTTATTTAATCCATCCCCCTTTCGCAGCACCAAACAACAGAATTTTGCATGCTCAAACTCTAGTGTGACCACGGCATAAGTCTGACAGGAGCTCCTCCTGGTGCTGCTTATTTACTCAGCTGATTGTAATGGCCCATTTCCGCTGAGTGGTACAGTACGGTTCCTTATGCTTTTATGGGCGTATCCACTGTCAAAAGGTACCTAAAAGCGAACGTACCATACCACTTTTTTGGGTACCCTTTCTAAATGGTACCTAGCACAACAAAAGGGTACCAAAAGACGGAGCAAGACACGCAACTGATTGTTATTGGTTTACAGAGATACATCTCTCACTTGTGCACAAGCCAGGAGAATGAAAACAAAGGAAGTGTCATTTTTAAATGAATATCCGAGACATTACACCATGTTGATGAACAGCTAAAGCCTGATTTATACTTCTGCGTCAAGTGACCGGCGTAACCCACGACGCATGCAACGCGCGTGGCTGTGCATTTATATTTCTGCGCGCTGTCTCTGTTGGTCGCATGAACACTTCCAAAACGCTAGTTGTCAATGAGGTGTAAATGTTCCTCTGTGTCGAGTTTCTTCGCTGCTTTTTTGCTTTTCCTGAACACTTCTGGGATGTACAAGTGGCTCAAACTCGCTCATTTTGAGGCAGGAACCGGCAGACATGCAACAACTTTAACTATGAGGTAAACACAAAACAAAACTTTCCATCCGGAGCTCCTTCACAGGACTCCACACTTGTAAGCAATCGCTCCGTCAGGCTCGCACCATCCACGCGGCTCTCGGTCCCGCCCAGACTCGTCAGCGCTACCAAGCCGACCAATCACAGAGCTTTTGCTATGCATCGTTGCGACGTGTAGTTACAGTTTTTGAGAGGTGCACGTCAGCAACGCCGATGGCCACGGCGAAGAACTATGCGTTAGCGCCGTAGTATACGCCGGCGTTTGACGCAGAAGTATGAATCAGCCTTAAGAAGGAGAGCAGAATCTACCCTGTCGTTGTTTTCAAGGCAGTCTAAAGCGTGAGTGGTTTCGCTTTCTCGCATGCTTTCGTTGGTCATCTATATTCGAAATAACAAACTTTGAGCTGATGATAATAAAGTGTGGGTGATTATTATATTACTTCTGACATTCAATCCTATCAGAAATGAACAAACGTTACTATTATGAAGTCGGAATGACTAAATTATTTTCTAACAATAGGTTATATGCGATGGCAAAGATTAAAGACACAGATGAGAGGTTTGCACTGACTGTGGCCTATATGTCGCATGTTGTTTTTAAACCCAAAGAAGGGCTAAATGTATGCTGTGTGTAGTTTTTCTGTATTTGGTAACATATCGGAGACTGTAAGGGTCTGTATGTGTTCATTTATATTGCATTTATTTTATATAATTGCAGACTATTTCGCACATCATTGATCTGCAGTTAAAATCAAATCATGTTCATAGAAAGCTTAGCGATGAACATTTTTACACAAGTATTTATGTGTATAAGGCATCTGTTTTATGAGAAGTGCTACTCATATAATATGTGAACGACCCGTACATCTTTACTTTGACATTTCATTGAGCGAGAATGACTAAAGCTTAAAATGGTCGTATAACATTGGTATCCTTTTGGCAGTAGAATTGCATGCCTGATAAAGGTGACCCGTACCGTACCATTTTCTTACACCTCAGAGGGATTGGTCATCTGGCAATTCCCCATAATGTTGTTTCAACATTATGTCTCCATTCCCTCCTTAAAAGAACAAAGATTACGGCAACAACCGAGACATTTGCTTAAAGGAGGACACATGTGTAGAAAACTCAAATAGTATGCTTATGTTTTCTTGTTCTTTCTGCTTTTTGTCAATAGGACCAGTATGTTTACCTCCACCAGTGTGCGTATGACCTCATTCGATCAAGAACTGGGACTAACGTGGATTTAATTTACCAGAACGCAGCAGCACTCCAAGTCTATCAGAATGTTAAATTAACAAAGTCCTAAATAGACATCCACAAGATATCCTTCATCAAATGATCAAAATTGTGAAATGAATGTTTTATTGCACAATACTCAATACATTTGAGTAAAATTTTAATTATAATATTTTTTAAATGCTACACTGGAATAATGCAGCCATTTTATTTGTTAACAATTTTGAAATATACACTGAATAATGTGTAATATATATTTTTTTTAACTCAGTCAAGATATTTATTTTTTTTACCGTGACATGTCCTAATGGAATATTTGTCACAATTTATTAGACATGTTATATATACTGCAATATCAAATGACTGTACATTTTAGTTCTGCCATGATTTTATTTGCTGGGTTGCATTAATTAGTCCATGTTTAATAAAATGTTTATGTTTTGACATATTTTAAGAAGAATTTGCAATATATTATTTAATCTTTTAGCCTAGAAACATTTTTTCTTTCACTTGAAAGCATTCCCAACATGTCAATGCACAATCTAATGAACAATAACTACAAATAAAGAATGTATGACTTATTTGGTACATTAAATTATTAGTTCATTAGATGTAGTTAATTTGTTTATCATTTGCTGTGTTCTGCAAAGCTGCTTTAGATGAACTGGGCATTTGCTTGAGATGTGTAATTTTATTTAAATTGCATTTTATTACTAATACTTATTTACTTGATAATACTTAGTATAACAATCCTGCTAACTGCACGTTTAGTTAACAGCAATCACACCTGCAACTGTACCACTGTTATGTTTTTTTGATTGCGCTAATTTTAATGTTAATGCATTTCTATGATCAACACTTGCAATAGAATATCAAATTTTATTTGAACAATATTGCACTAGAATATATTTGCTTTTACACTTGCCGCTTAAAATGATATTTATTTAGGATCTGTTTCTTGCATTTGCCTCTATATTTGTGTGTATGTATGTATGTTATTTATAAAGCTAATTGCATATCTGTTGAATTATACACTCTTTGGGAAGTCTCTAATACATGCTGGAAATGATATCAAATAAAGTAATAATCACATCAATACTAGCCTGTTCTTTTTTTCTCTAAAAGATACAATTCTGACATGTTTTTATGTTGGGTTAAATAGGCTGAATGGTAGCTTCTCAATAGCTTTTGATGACATTAATGTGAAATATGACTCTGATTTTATTTTTTTAAAGTTGTTTTTAATAAAAGACCTGGGGTCTGTTCTTCGAACCTTGCTTAGATAATCTAAGATGATTTGGCAGATCCTGGTTCTTTTAATCTTGATAACTGATTTGGTTCTTCAAACAAGTTTACGAATAAGATTAAAATGTCTGGATGAACTGATCTGAGATTGCTGCATGTGTTGCGAAGGAATGATCTAGCGATCCACGAAATCATGATCAGGAATGCATTGATCTGGAAGATGAAGGGGCAGCTGAAGTCTGGTACGTGTAGGATGGGAGATGACGATAGTGCCGTCTTCAGTGTCTGGAATGCCTTTTCTGCTGCCGGTTTCCAGACAATCCTGTTGTGCGATCTCTTCTTTGTGTGGACTGGCCACGGATGAGAAGTTGGGGATAAAAACATCTGTAGTAGCCTACTAACCCCCAATAGGTACCCAAGTCTTTGTGGATGGCCAGGGGTTCCTTCTTTACAGTCACTAGTTTATTTCACTGCAGTTGGATGAGACACCAACCAATGATGTAACCCAGATACTTTGCCTCCGCCAATCCTAGGTGACACTTCTGGGGGTTAGCTGTGAGTCCAGCCCACTGTAACTCCAACAGCACCCTCTGCCGTAGGGTAAGATTGTCCTCCAAAGACCTCGAGTGGATCATGACATCGTCCAGGTAGGCTACCACATAAGCTTCATGGGGGCAGAGTAGGATGTCTATTAGACTCTAGAACATTGCAGAAGCCCCATGGAGCCCAAAGGTAATGACTCTGTGCTGCCAGTGGTGGCCAGGGGTCGAGAAGGCAGTCTTTTCTTTGGTGAATGAAGTGACAGGTACATGCCAATACCCCTTTGTAAGGTCCAAGTAGCTGATTTACAGGGCTCCACTAAGCAGGTGGAGTAGTTCATCCACCAGAGGTATTGAAAACCCTGACAATGCTGGACGCTTTGGTGGGACCGACAAGAAAGAAAGTTCAGAAAACAGGAGCTTTCTGGACAGGTTGGAGGCAGAATATCTGTTTACTTATGTAAAAGACATACCTTTTTGTGGATCTAATGTGGCTATAACCAAGGAGTACAACATTAGACAACACTATGAAACAAAACACTAAGACAAGTACAAACACCTGGACATGGCTCCAAGGCACCGAATAGATGGGCAGGGTCTACAGACTACAGATGAAAAAAATCAAGGCACACATTGACGTACCAGTTCCACAGAAGGATTCTGAATTAAGGTCCATCTTAGGATTACTTGATTATTATGTAAAGTTTGACGCTAACTTTTCAACCTTGCTGCATCCTTTACACCAGCTCTTGCAAGCAGACACAAAGTGGATTTGGTCACCAAGTTGTGAAGAGGCTTTCAAAGCCTGCAAACAACACCTCTTAGATAGTAAATGTCCTGCACATTATGATCTAGTGAAACCTTTTAGACATGCTTGTGATGCCTCTCCTTATGGAGTTGGTGCAGTAATTTCTCACATTTTACCCTCTGGAGTAGAGCAGTCAATTGCATTTGCGTCACAGACTCTGACATCAAGTGAGTGTAATTATGCTCAAATAGAAAAGGAAGATTTAAGCATAATTATTAGTGTAAAGAAAGTCCATAAGTATCTGTATGGTAAAAAGGTTTGTATTATTGACCGATCCCAAACCATTTTTGGCCATATTAGCAATTTCAACTCTGGCTGCATTAAGAATGCAACTGTGAGCGTTATTTCTTTTAGCTTATGACTATAACAGACAGTACCATAGTTCCTGTGACCACGAGAATACAGATGCATTATCATTCCTTCCGTGCAAACAGGGCTCTTCTGAGGAGGAGAATGAGAGGGTATTTTTGGTTTCTTTTGTTGATGAACTGCCCGTCTCAGCAAAAGACATTGCAGAAGAGTCATGACCCTATCCTGTCAAAGGTCCGAGATCTCACATTGTGGGGTTGGCCAAAGTTTGTACCCAATCCAGACCTGAAACCTTTGAAAGGAAAGATCAGTTGTCCTCAGATCAAGGATGTGTTCTTTGGGGATCATGGGTGGTTATAACACCTATGTAAAAGAGAAGACTGCTCTTTGGTTTACATGAGGGCCATCCAGAAGTCACATGAATGAAGGCTCTGTCAAGAAGATTTTCTAGTGGCCTGGTTTAGATCAGGAGATTCAGGCATTTGTACTGTAAGTCAGTGTGCATCAATGTGATCACATTGAATAGTCCCTCAACAGCTCCTTTACACCCATGGTTATGGGCCAAAGCACCGTGGGAGAGAATACATGTGGACTATGCTGATGTAAACAAGCAGCATTTCTCGGTGGTGATAGACAATCATTCTAAATAGATTTAAATCTTACCTTCTAAGCTGGCAACTGCTGAAAAGACTGCAAACCTTCTCAGAAATCTGATTGCATCATATGGCCAACCCAAAGTCCTGATTTCTGACAGTAGTCCACAATTTACTGTACCTGAGTTAAAATTATTTCTTGAGGAAAGTGAAGTGTGTCATTCTGTCATCACCATACCATCCAGCTTTAAATGGTGCAGCAGAAAGGGCTGTGCAAATTTATAAGAAGGCATGGAGTGGAATGCAGTCTAAGGCCCCGTTTACACTAGTGCGTTTTAGTTTTAAAACGGCGTTGTAGAATGAAAACGATCCGCGTCCACACTCGCGTTTTACCCAGCATTTCTGAACAGCTCTCCGTCCACACCAAAACGCTGAAAACGCACATCACTTGACCACACAGACGCTCTCGGGCAAGCGCTGCAGCCCATCTACCCAGATGAGAGCTCTGCTTGTCGGACTGCTCATCAAGCATCTCCCGCTGGATCTAATCTCACTATATTTGCTAAACGTGATATTTCATTCATGTTGTTGTCTTTAACTAACGACATAGGCCAATTCCCTGACTTTGGTCATTGGAATCTATTAAGTTATTTGTTCACGGGTAACATGTTTTGGTTAAGCGCAAAGTTAATGATTAATCCAGGTACATTGACTGATCGCTTGCCTTTATTTCCTACAATGTATAAACTTATTGTATGTTATACTTTTATAATTATCGATTATTAAAACTGATATTCAGCAAAAGAGAGGGTGCGTTTCGTATTTTCACTGAAATTGAAAGGAGGCAGTTGTTATCGGCTCCGTTTTGTTATAAATATCCACACAGTGAAGATGACGCTCATATATGCAGCACGACGCCTCAACATTTCTGCTGTCTGTTAAGTTGCTAATATTAAAAAGAAAATAGGCAGTTCCTTAAATCATGTTTACATTTTATTGTTGAGAAAGTGAAACAACGTAGCCAAGGTGATGTGAATGAAGTTATAAAGTACACTGTTTCCTTTGAAGATTTACCCGTGTCCTCGGTATGTTTTCCATATCAAACTGAGAAGGGGGAGACTGCAGCCTTGATCAAACTTGCGAAGTCTTAACTTACAAGAAGAGGATGCGTGACTGAACTGTGTGTGGGCTACTTAATATCGAGGAAAAGCCCCAATCAGATAGGCGAACGTTTGCAGCCCCGCCTCCGTTTTCAGATGTCTCCGTCTTTCCCCATCCACACTGAGACGGAGCAGCAGCGTTTCAGAATGAAAACGGCCTCTCCAGCGTTTTCAAAAAGCTCCGTTTTCGGCACTCGAGAACTCCGGCGTAGTGTGGACGGATGGCGTAACCTTAGCAAAACTTATGCGTTTTCAAACTAAAACGCACTAGTGTAAAAGGGGCCTAAGTCCTTGTGAACTGCTAGCTCACTTGTTGTTAACATACATAAATACTCAACACACAGTCATGGAGCGTAGTCCTGCAGAGTTGTTCCTAAAGCCTGATGTTTCAGATGTTGTATTCAAGCACCTTTAACTTCAAAAGGAGAGTGCATGATAAAAAGTCCAAGTCACTCCGCACATTCAGTTTACGAGACAGGTTGTTAGTCCGACACTTCAGACATCCTAAGAAGCTTTGGATCCCAGGAACGATATTGAAGTGAAGGGGACCCCTGACTTGCTGTACTGAAATGGGACATCAGCAAGTTACAGAACATGTGGACCACCTGTTACCATCAATTTCTTCAGAAAGGCAAAACAAAGGGATTTCAGATGATCTCTTTGATCCTCTGCCAATTCAGAAAGCTGGGAGATCAAACCCACAAGTTCATCCCGATCAGTTACCAGAAGTGATACCTGAACCATGTTAACCCACAATGCAAAGGAAACCACCACAAAGGCTTAACCTTTAGGTATGAGTTAGGAGTTAAATACTTCTAAAATAAATATATGAAGTTCATGTTTTAACATTTATATTAGGTTAGATCAATGTTATAAGTGTCACCAAATAAGGCATTTCTATGTTGAGTTAAAGTCTAAAGACAGAGGAGTGTGGTATCTCAGTGTACGTGTATGACGGTGTTCTAAAGGAGCGTGTGCTCTTGTCTGTGCTCTTGTCTGTATCCACACTGTAATCAGGAAGTGAGAATAAACAGTAAAGACAGCCTTGTCTGAATCCCCTATGAAAATACTATAGTAACTAATACGTCTCGCAGGAGACAGTTTCACCAATGAACACCTTCACTCGATCCTGAGAAATTCCTCATCTCACAGCTTAAGTGCAGACATTGAGGAACCAGCATCCAAGAAGAGATGCCACATATCTAACTTAGACACAACAAAGTAGAGCAGTATCACAAACTGAGCTATAATTAACATTTTCTTTGTGCACTTTTTCTTGCTACTCCCAGAAATGGGCTTGAATGGTTTCATGTTTATTGATATTTTTATTAGTTTTATATATTTTTATTAGTTAATTGGTTTATTATTTTTTCTTTTTATATTTATTAATAGCCTGTGGAAAAAGTATAATCAACATTTAATTCAAAAAGCTGCAATTGCAA